ATGAAGATTGCATTTCTGAATGGTTTACACATTGCACAATGTAATCATAACAACACCACGATGTTTTATATATTTATACTGTAGGTTAATTGATGCAATTGATACTTGTATGATATCATCGAAGTGTCGTCGGTGTGGGTTATCATTAACACTTGTCTGTGGATATATAAAGACATGTATGGGTTGCAATCGCATCGTTTTATGCTTTTACAATAGCAAATGTGCACCCTTTGGCACGCCGTTGGAGTCAAGGATGCAACGTATGGGAATCTAAAAAGGAACAGGAAAGGACTGAGAGAAGGGAAAGAATAGGAAATAAGAACATTATTGAAAAGGAATGGAAAAACGGAAGCAAAGGGTCAGGAGAGAAGAGGATAGGGAGGAAGAGGCTGCCTACATAAAGGCCTCGACGCTGCTGCACTGAGCAGTGCCTGTTTTCACAGGGGGCGGGGCGAGGCATTCAGAGTGGGTGTGGTCACGCAAGACACGTGATTTGCGGGAGGATTGAGCTGATTTAGATAAAGAGATGGTAAATATGCAACGTTTCATACGTGGCTTTTAGATAACTCCGTGTCCAGAACTGTTTACATTTTGCCTTGATAAATAAAAACGAAAAGTATTGCCTCGAGATATTCCCTGTAGAGTGCATAACAATAACAATGTCATGACTTTTACAAATGGGTGCTATTAATCTCCTGCATTGTTTAGAACAAGAATTGTAATAGGTGACAAAGCTGTTGCTGTTGCAGCACCAACATTTTGGAACGGTCTCGTTTCCTCCCTTAACATCGTAAATCTTCCTTCAAAATTAGATCCTGAAGCGGAACATTGGTGCTGGATACAATCACATTTGCAAGTGTGATTTGTGCATTTGATCCTTACCACCCACGTCTCGATAGTTAAATGTGCATTTTTTTTACTGCGTGTTTTCTTGGTGTGGCTCTGGGACATTTTTGTTGTCGTTTTGCTGCCTTGCCCTAGCTTGCATTTCGTGTTGAAAATCCGGCAGGAATGTACGTTCTTTTGCAATATGTACTTACTTTATTACTTACTATCGTGACTTGCTTGCCTTTTCTCTAGTTTGCACTCTGATATGTTTTAAAATTATTTGCTGTTAATAACTTGCTAACTTTGCTGCTGTATCTTGCTAACTTTGCTGTTGTATGTTGCTGGCCCGGCCCTACTGGACATCTGCGCAAAAGAGCTTCATAGCTCATCGGATTCCTCCAGTCCAAATAAAGATTGCGATTCTGTTGAGCTACAGGGCTTCGGCTTCAACGTTATACAGCGCGCGAACCAGGTTCGAGTCCAGTTACGTCCAAACAAAAAATTCTCATATTCTTGGGTCTGTCGGTAAAGTCACGTAGATAGGTTCAAAAAAAACAACAATAATCGACGTGACTTTGCCAAAAGACCCAAGAAAATAAATTCCTGCAGTCACGAATACTTTAAGTCAAACATTTTTATCGCTTTACGTGACCGATTATGCGATGTAAATAGTCACGGAAAGCAAGGTCCACATGAAGCGACGTCATTTCTAATCGACTCCGTGCAGAGGGCGAAGCTCCGTCTGCTGGAAGCGACGGAGCAGCCGTGGGGCCTTGCAAGCGAGTTGGTCGTGACTGCCATCTGGCGGATTTGTCAGTATTTGTTTAACCAATTTTATCTATGATAAATATCTTATTTTTTTTGGGGCGGGGGGGGGGTCCTGTGAATATAAATGAAGGCCGTAATTCTAATATTCAAATATGCTCAAAATGTCCCCCCCAATATATTGCTATAAATAAAAACAACAATTTGCTAAACCTTGGCCATCTGGACTTGTCTTCATATAAATCAATGCACATATTTCTGTTTATATGATTGTGGTTATGGCATTACTTTATTAATCCCTAATCTCTGCCATTACATACAATGAAACAAGAAAAGGTAAAAAAGTAAAAACAGAGCAATGTAATACAATACACTATTAGACATTATTGTAAAAAATAAATAAAAAGTCCATCCCATGTGTTAGTGAATTTTTAAATATTTTAGGCAGGAAATTAGTTTTCAAATTTAGATATTTTTCTGGGTTGGGACCCCCAGACACCCTGAAAGATTTGGTCCCCCCCAATGTTGACTCCATGGCTACGGCCTTGATTTAAATGTGTCGTCCTCTAACGACGCATACATATTCACGCGATTTCTTTACCTTTCCTCTACTTGGCACTCCTACCGTGTGGCTTGTACTGTTTGTTCACGTACTGGACATATAGCTCATCAGATGACTCCGGTATAAATATTTCGATGATTCTCTGTTGCGAGGAATTGGTGTGCGTCCGTACAGACGCGCGTCGCTACGAGCGTTTTGTCGGTCACGACGCTATTCTTATATTTTCGCGATCTAAACCCCCAAAAAACACCATTTATAATGATTTATCAGTATTGTAGTGTGTGAGCAAATGGGTCAGATATTCTTCTTCCCTTTCAACTGATCGGTACCGTTGCCCAGTAAGCACGCCAACGTTGCGTCAACGTTGGCGCGTGGTTTGAACTGTTTGCCCAACGTTGTCCGAATGTTCCACGTTTACTGGGTAGCCGCTTCTCTGAGGTGTAGAATGCGGGTTTTCGTACAGGATAGGGGCCGTCCATAAATGACGTCACGCACCTGTGGGGGGGGAGGGGGGTGTCAGACATTTGTGACGATGTGTGACGAGGGAGGGGGGGGTTTGATAAATATGACGTCACATCAAAATGCACAACTTTAAATAAATATAGAATTGTTATAACAACACTAATTGTTATAACAACACTAATTGTTATAACAACACTCCTACAACATCAGAGTGCAGCGCCACATTAAATACGCACTACAACGACAATAGTTTAAAGCGATTTGAAGCATGTTTTATTTTTAAAAAAGAAATATGGTTTTGGGGGGGGGGGGGGCAGAGCTTTGTGTCGTCATATTTGAGGGGGGTCTGACTTTTTGTGACTCCGTGTGACGAGGGTGGGGGGTCAAAACTCGTCCAAGATCGCGTGACGTCATTTATGGACGGCCCCATATACAGTACTGCAGTACAGAAACTTGCAATGATATTCTGTAGTGATGCTGCGTTGGCAGTGGTGTACAAGAAGGACCATTGCCCGAAACGTCACCATTTATCATTGAAGTCCACATTGTCATTGACGATTTTGTTAAGTTTTTGTAATATTGTGTTCATTAGCCTGCATTCAAATCACACGGAATGTGCACGATCTCGTCAGATCTGGGAAGCTAAGTCGATGTAAACCTGGCTAAGGTGGCGAGATGTTTTAAACTCCTTCGCCTGGTGTGCATGAGGTCGTGGGTTCGATCCCGATTTTCACGCCTGCTGTAGATTTGGAGTTTGCGTGTTCTCCCCGTGGTTGGGTTTTCCCTGCGTTTAGAGTATTTGGCTGCTAGAAATGTTCCACGTGATAAGCCACTTCATTGAGCTATCATTTGTGGCCGCTTCTGAAAAGCGATATAGAGCTCAAATAATAACAAATATTTGTTTAGTTGAAGTGCTTGGATGGACGCCGAACACTGCACGCTAATGGGCGAGGCCTCGTCGTACGTGTATGTGTGCAGCAGAGGGCGGTGCAGCGAAATCAAATCGTCTGCACTTCCCCACACCTTCACAAATGCGCACTGACCAGTGTGGTGAAGTATGGTGGTTATATCATTCTTATGAAAAAATATATATTTTACCAGGTACAAATGATAGCTGAACAAAGTGGCCTGTCATGCGGGAATTTATAGCAGCGAAATACTCTGAACGCATGTTTATGAATGCGGAGGAACAAAGTGGAGGACCTGGAGAAAAATCCACGCGACCACGGGGAGAGAGAAACTTGCAAACTCCAAATATACAGCAGGCGTCAGGGTCGGGATCAAACCCACGACCTCCTGTATACCGGGCGAGGTAGTTAACATCTCGCCATGGCGGCGCCTTTCTCGCCACGGGGGCAGGAAAGGCGCGACTCTTTGGGCCCTCGCCCATCCGTGGATTGACAAAACGGGCTCTGCAGTACACGTACACACATATACTCGGCTCATGAACGACTAATGCTGTCTCAGTGGAGGTCATAACGAATAATCAAGGAGATTTTGGTCTCTAGTTCAGCTGGTAATGTGACAGGTCTCCTCCTGGTCGGGAAAATAAATCAATGCTGGATCCGTTCAGTTCATCGTGGGCGAAATGAGCACCACCTGTTGATGATGCACCACGTGGGGAGGGAAGTCAACGGTGGTTGTATTTTGGATTGACTGGTCCCCGTCACACGAATGTGGAATTTCTACCACTGGCTCTGGCATTCCATTTGAGATCAGCACAACCCAATGCACATTTGAGCCTGAGAAAGAAAAAGACGACTCGTTGAGGGCGACGAACGTTATGAATGAAACATGTATTGCCCTGGCTATTATGGCTTTAGAAATAAACAACATCAGTATATTTAATAATTATTATTATAGTATATTTCGAGTGTGGTTGCTCATAAAGCCGACACGGTGTCTGGTTGTTAACACTGAAACATCCCAATGGGATAAGTAAAGTTTGATGGATCGAAAAACACTTTTAAAGCCTCCACGTACCGATCATAAATGTCCACGTGATGAGAAGCCACTTCGTTGAGCTATCATTTGTGGCCAGGTCGCTTCCGAAAAAGAAGCTAATAGCTCAGTGGGCCTTACCTGGTGAAATAAAAAAAGTTTAATTTTATTTGTATTTTTTTGTAAGTGATTAGTTTATCTTTACTATACTTTACACTCCTGTCGTGTTTTGTATCGTTTCTTGTTGTAACATTCTTACCTGCCCCGACTGGACATCTGTGGAAGAAAAAAGCTTTATAGCTCATCGGATTCCTCCAGTATGAATACATATTCTGATTCTGACGATGAATCAACTTCCCAGCCCAATTCGACCATGTTCACTACCGACTCATGACAGGACACAAGTTCCTAACCACTGGGCGCCCCCTTTCCCTGTGACCAGGGACTGGTGTGCGTACGTGCAGACGCGCATCGCCACCAGCGTCGTGACCAACGGGACCGAGACGTTTGGCGCAACGGTGGCCGAGCCGTGTCCATGGGGCCAAGGCAGCTGTCAGAACCGCCACACGTGAGTCGCTACTTCACACCCAAACGGCCTTGGCCTCGGTCGCATCAAACAACTTCGCTCTTTCCCCGTTTCCGAGACGTCTGCAAGTTGCAGGGTGGTGCGTTCCCGTTTGCCCGCCGAATCTCGGAACACGCGCAAGCGGCTCAACGTTAATTTTATACAGAGAGGCGTAGCACCCGTTGTTTTTAAAGACGTACTCGTCGCAGGGAACTGTAGTGACACGACCGCACTCTATGATAGCTGGTGCGCCAAAATGTGCCACACGCCTTCCCGCGTGGCATTGTGGGAACCTCGCTATGTCTTCCGACCTGAAGACTTGCCGATAAAGTTATTTTATTTATTTTTTTCGATTCCATTCTAATGACATACATGTACGTCATCGCAATGGGAAAGGGTTAATTACAAACTTCCCTCAGCTCCTTATTACATACATTTCATTTAATGAAGACTTTTCATTTAAGGTTTTTTTTTCATGCAAGGCCGTCCACTAGAGCAGCGGTCCCCAACCTTTTTGGCACCAGGGACCGGTTTCGTGGAAGACAATTTTTTCACGGACCGGGGGGGGGGGGGGGTTCATCATTGGGTCTTTCCTCCTTTTCAAAGGAGCTCTACAGCGACGTTTGTTTTGTTACTCATTGTGGCTACTAGGGGTTAGAGCTTGTGGACTTACCAACACTGTGACTGAGACAAGCGCGCAGTGCGGGAAATAGGCACGGACGGAAGTGGTCAATAATAAAACAATGGGGGCGGGCCACGCGCGGACTCACCGCTCTCACCTCCTGCTGCTGTGTGGCCCGGTTCCTAACAGGTCACGGACCGGTACCGGTACCGGCCCACGGCCCGGGGGTTGGGGACCCCTGCACTAGAGGATATGTTGGCCAATTCCTCTATGCTGACCAGTTATCTTGGAAGCAGGGCCGGATTAAGATTATGTAGGCCCCTGGGCTACAGGTACTGTGAGGCCCCCAGTAATATTCTCAAAAGGAAAACTAAGTTAAAGAAAAATGTAATTTATTTTTACAATGCTAACAACAAATAAAATTCGGCATTCACAAATGAAATAACTTTTCACTTCAATCTCCGGAGGCCTGCTCCAGCTGGCGGAGGCCCCTGGGCTGCAGTCCCTAAAGCCCCCGGTGCCTTAATCCGGGCCTGCTTGGAAGAGGTGGGATTACCCACACTTTAACCCACCTTCAGTGTTTTTTTTGGACAGCGGTGGCAAGATTAATGAAGCTCGCCTTGGAAGATCAAGCCGGAGAGCTTTGCAAGTCGGATGTGCTCATCGATAACCCTAACCATGACAGCACGGCAGCATCCCTTCATAGTGGACGGCTGAAACGTTATTGTTAAACTTGTCTCATCGTTGCGTTGTTAACTGCAAGGTATAAAAGCTCAGATGATGACGCACAGGATGAGGATAACGATGCCGGTGCATCCCATCGACAATGTTAACCTTGAATGTCAATTTCAAGGTTACAAAGGTCACAATTGTTTTTTTCTCTTCAAAATTTTACACAAATCGACATTTTGTTCACAGATCTTTCATTTCAAAATTGCTTTGTTACTACTTAAACGATATAGTCGCATTTTGTATTCACATATGAATGTGTAAAAAAAGATGTTGGCTTGTGGGCAAATGTTGAGGTGTGTATGAGTGTTAAAGGCATTACACATTTAAACGATGATGCTTTTCTTGACCATGTATATATTTTGAATATATAGTGCACTTTGCGCTGGTGCATCACCGAGAGCTTTACACGTGGTGAGCGGCTGACATTAACATCTCAACACATTGGAGAGGGCACCCTGTGCGGCACAAGGTGGCTCAGCACCTGGCATGCGAGCGGGCATCAGTCTGCCAGTAGGGGGGTGGGGGGGCAATGATTGCCATGTGTAATGCCAATTGAGTCATTTGCAGTGGTGATATATGGCGATGGTGATGATGTCTCAATTCAGATTCAAAGAAATGACCAGGCCATTGTACCGGATCAAGCACAGCATCGTTACGTCCCTCCAGTGGAAGTGCTGCCCGGGTCACGTGGGCCCTGCATGTGACCTCACAGGTATGGAAGCTCATCGTCTTTATCCCAGGATGCTGGTGAACTTTTCACAGCTAACCTTCACGTTTATTCGGTAAAGTCACGTAGGTAAAAAACTAAATAAAATAAATGAAAACGAAAACAACTAAATTAAAACAAATCTCGACGTTTAGAAGGCAACACAAGCCTCCGTTGTTTTCATTTTAATTTATATTATTTGGTTTTTTACCTACGTGACTTTACCGGAAAAAACAGTCACGGAAACTTCAAATCTAGAACCTTCACGTTGGTTAAAAAAAACTACTACCGGGCACTCATTGCAGTGAAGTGCCAGCGCAGACATTCTTACACTTCTTTTAAGAGGGGCTTCTTAGTGAAAGAAGCTCTGGGCTGGCACTGCGCATCAGTTACAGCGCCCTGCGGTTGTTTTTATTGGCGCTGCGTCTACGCCGGTCGAACCATCATATGTTTGTACACCGACTCTAGACGTTTTTCCACCGTGTGGCGTTATTATAAATAAAAATAAAAACACTACAATTGTCTCCGTGCTCGTACATTGAGATGGCACTCAGCCACTGAGCATGGACATAGTTGGTGTCAAGTTCTCTGTTTTGTACCAAAACAAAAAATACACGGAAAATGGAAATGGACAGAAAACAATGTACGCTCCATTCCACAAAGTTATCCTCTTCTCAAATATAGCCAACATTTACTCATATTTCCTACATGTCCATGTGTAGCCCGTGTGTCAATCCACCGCTGGTAAGGGCCTTCCCATGCTATGATGTAATGGGTGGTTATCAGGAAATAACTTCACTAAACTGGTCAATGTGGGTTTGGGCATATGTAGCTTATGTTACATTCACGCATCTAGGCCACGGTAAATAGGATTTACGTAGAAATAAGCCACGTTCAATTACCGACAGTTTCAAATCAGGAAATCGATGTAAAATCAATGCGCGCATCAGAGTGAGTTGACGTCATCGGAATGTGTGAAGGAAAACAAAAGCACTTTTCTAAACAACAACAAAAATATGAGTTTGCAAGAAACACATTTTGATGTTAATGAGTCTAACTTCTTTCCCCTCCTTCCTAATAGAAACGCAGTGACTCTGAATGATTTTGAGAGGGGCCTTGCAACCCTTGCCAATAGCAAACCATGGCGAACCAAATGTGAACGAGCATTGCGATGACGCGCGATAATTATATCCTTTGTTGCTCTGCCCTGCTTCGTTAACCTCTTTGTCCCTGCCCTCGGTGTGCTCACATTTGCTTCTGTTTACTTCCCCCTCGACGTGCACCTCCGTTTCCCTGATGGCGAATCCCTCATCAGAGGAGGCAGTGGGTACCGCGAGTCTTCAGGAGCATCCACCCCCACCGCAGCAGCGAGCCCACGGCAGGCAGAGCGATGACAACGGTGCTCACCGCACTCCGCTAAGCCTACGGGCCACCACCCCTAAACCGCATCCGTCGCAGCATATTGCGGACGCTTGATACACAAATGGAAAATAAGTAAATAGACGACAGAACATCTTTTTTTTCATTTCAATAAGAGCCCGGGACAGAGCACGAACCGCGACGCAGGGACGGAGGTACAGAAACTCCATGGACAGAAGTTTCCGAGATCTAGGGGCACAGAAACTCCATGGGTAGAATGTTCCGGGATCTAGGGGCACAGAAACTCCATGGACAGAATGTTCCGAGATCTAGGGGCACAGAAACTCCATGGACAGAAGTTTCCGAACTTTAGGGGCACAGAAACTCCATGGACAGAAGTTTCTGAACTCTATGGGCACAGAAACTCCATGGACAGAAGTTTCTGAACTCTATGGGCACAGAAACTCCATGGACAGAAGTTTACGAACTTTAGGGGCACATAAACTTAATGAACATAAGTTTCTGAACTTTAGGGGCACAGAAACTCCATGGGCAGAAGTTTACGAACCCTAGGGACACAGAAACTCCATGGACAGAAGTTTTCGAACATTAGGGGCACAGAAACTCCATGGACATAGGTTTCTGAACTCTAGGCTCCGGGGTTCAGAGGAGGTGGGTGAGAGGGGGAATTGGAGTCACTGACGGCGGAACATCCAACGACTCGATGCCCGATTCACAAACGCGGAGGAGGCATCAGTCGCCACGGCGATACGCTGCGCTACTCCTGACGCGATTATTCAGGTCAACCGCCTCAATGTAGCATGATAGTTGTTGCTGTGCACCAGCATCAGCCGTACGAAGATTACGCAACACATACCCGCGAGAGGGTATGTTAAATAGGTATTAGGAGAAGCTAGACGTCGTCATACTTGCTCCTGCCATGGTAATATGGAATGCACACAACGAGATGAGATGAGATGGGCACCGCACAATATTAGCTTAGGCATGAAGCCACTTTTTTGTGTAACCAGGCTGTAACCGTTAAATGTATTGCACTTTGACACGTGGTTAATTTTGAGTGAGTCCTGCATTAGAAAACCCGCGTGTCAGCGGTGGTGGCTCAGTTTTGGACACGGGGCATCGTTACACCTCCCGATCACCCTGCATGGCTCTGACACAATCTTTGCCAAAAACTTTTTTGTTCCGTCATTCGCAGATGGTGACACCATTCCAGGCGTCACTGCTCAGCTGTTGCTCGGCCTCAAAGGGAAAGGCGACGCGGGATCTGTTTGGAGTGCCCCCCATTGGGGAGGGACAGATGGCAGTGAAGTCGACGACGACGACTACGGGAAGGACATGGACCAACAAGTGGAGGGCTTCGAGCAGAGGGAGTCACGGAGCGTGGCTCATGGGCATTCAGCCACCAGGGTCCACTCCAGCGAGAGGAAAGGTGAGCATCGTCATGATTGTCATCATCATATTTATTTAGTTTCACCACATAAGGCACACTGAGCCTATGTAGCTCTTTTTCGGAAGCAACCCGGCCACAAATGATAGCTCGACAAAGTCTATCTTTATGTGGAAATGAAAGTAGCTAAATACTCTAAACGCACGTTTTCAAATGTGGAGGTAAAACCCGGAGGCCCGAGAGAAAAATCCACTCAGCACTACGGGAAGAGAGACCACGGGGAGAACACACAAACTCCAAATATAGAGGCGTCAGGGTCAGGATCGAGCCAACGATCTCCTGTATACCAGACGAGCTAGTTAACATCTCGCCATCGTGGCGCGCCATATCCCTGAAACTTAATTTAATAATAATTATTATGATTATTTACAGCCCTTTGTCAATCCACTGCTGGATGAAGGCCTCTCCATGCCACGGTAGTTATGAGCATCGTTTGACGATACTTCACCAAAACTGGTCAATGTATGTAGCTGAAAGTGGGTGGCCCAGGACCGGTTGAGATTTCACTTGTCATTTGTGTTGGCCATGGCCAGGAATCCAACTTGGGTTTCTGGGTTCATAGCACAGCACGCAAAACTGCTACACTCCACTCAAAATCGTATTGCATGAGCAAGGGAATTTTCAGAAAAGCACGTGATTTAAAATGGGCACGTTGCGAGTTCATCGACTGTGGATGATAAATTCATCATCTCTCCAGGGTCAACACAATTAGGGCCAAGTCAACAGTGGTTTTTGCTAAGGCGACACTGGTCCGTATCATTGCGGTATTTACACTCCAGGCTCAGGGCCACCTACAGAGGTAAGCATCACTGAGTGCTCAACTGAGCAAGGAGACACAATTTGGCCTCACATTTTCGCCAAATATATTAACATCATCGTCATTTATTTTTGAACGCAGTAACGCTGGACAGCGTCTCCGAAGAGCTGGTCATTGATCTTGTTCGGAAGCTGCTGGACGAGCGACTCGGGGAGGCATCTCGACGGCCGGTCCACGGCACAGGTGGTCTCGACGTGACCCTGTCAACCCCGTCGGCCGCCCAGCTGGCGCGGGACCTGCAGCTCCTGCAGCACTCACTCTCCTCCCTCAACGACAGCGTCTCGCAGAGGCTCGATGACCTCACCTGGAGGGTTCAAAACCTGGAGAAGGCAACCTCCAGGTCGTCCGAGCAACGGAACACCCTTCTGCTGGAGCAGCTAGCCCACAGAGCGGCGGTGGAGACTACGACCCGACGCCTCGCCGACGAGGCGAGGACACGGGCGCGGGAGGCGGTGGAGGCGAGAGGGGAGCTGGCATCTGAGCTGCGTGGAGACCTCGGAAAGATGTGGAAGTTCACAAAGGATCGCCTCGACACAATGAACCTCACCATCGCTGGCCTCCAGGTGAACGCCGCGCCCGCCGCAGCTGCTGCTGCTGCTGTTGAAATTACGAGCAATGCGGCGGCGAGCAAACCCGCGCCGGAGAGTTCCGACGGTGGCGACGGCGACGAAGGCAGAATGAAAGCGCAGGGCTCCGACGCGCAGAAAGCCAAGGTCGTGTCAACTCAGGACTTTAGCCGCTTCAACGAGACGCTGAAGAGGCACGAGTACCTTCTGAGAGACGTCTACAACCAGTTGCACCTGTTCACTGAGAAGCTGAAGGAGCTCAGCTACAGGATCCAGGAGGAGCAGGAGGCGAGCTGGGGGGAGTGCAACAAGCTCCAGGATGCCTTCAAGGCGAGCGAGGACTCTCTGTCCATCAAGCTCCTCGAAGTTCAAGAACAGCTGCTGGACATGAACAAGACCATCGTCATTGGGCTGTCACCCATGGAGGAACGCTTCGGCTCCGTGATGTCCACCATCCACAACCTCTCAACAGAGGTGGGGCACCTGCAGAAGAGCTTGCAGAGGAGAGCGCAGGGCACCGATTGGCTCGACGAAGCGCAGTCTCTCCGGGAGCAGATGGACGGCCTCATCTTGTCCGTCGACAGATTCAAGATTGACGTGGAAGACCTTAAGTTTTCCCGGAGCGTTCTGGGCTCCGGAGTTCGGCTGCCCAGTCCGGCCTCTGACCTGGAGTCGCGGGTGAACAGCACCGAGAGCGCGGCGAGGAGAGCGCTGGAGCAGAGCGGAGCGCTGGGCAGCAACGTGAGCCACCTGCACCGGCGTGTAGAGCAGCTGTCGGCTCTCACGCTGAACCTCCTCGCGCAGGCGAGCCTCATGAGCCAGCACGTGGACGACCTCAACGGCTCGTTCAGCACGCTCATGGAGGACACACTGCGGCACACGCTCGCGCTGGAGGAGCTGGGCGCGTTCCGAGACTCCGACTACGACGATTACGACGGCGAGTACGCCGACGATGGCTTCGGGAAGCCGGAAGCCAAGGTGGAGATCAACCTCGTGAAGCTCAGCCGCCTGCTGAGCGAGACGGTGGGCGCAGTCCGCGAGCAGTCCGACGTGGTGCTCGCAATGCGGAGCCGCCTCCTGGCGCTGCAGCTGCAGGTTGCGAACTCCACGTCATCCGCGCCGCGCCCGCGCGGTGGCCCGAGGGAGCGGGAGGAGACGGCGGTCTCCTTTGGCGGGGAGTTCGGGTCGAGAGAGGACGAGGGCGAGCCGGAGGGGCGTGCGGACAGGCTGTGGGAGAGGCTCGGGCGGCTGGAGAGGGCCTGGTTTGAGTTGGACGGGCAGCGCTTGGGGCGACTGGAGTCACGTCTCAATGAGATGGCCGGTAAGGGTTGGCGGCAGTGGCGATGCTTATGCATCGCAGCAAGAAGGGCCTCGGGTTCGATTCGTGGCTGGTGTACTGCTGCAGATTATTTGGTTTATGTTCTGCCCCTGGGTGTTGCATGGGTCTCCTCTCAGGTTCTCTGGCCTCCTCCCAAAACAAAAAAAACCGCATGCAATCTAACTGATATTGGTCAAACATACCGTTGCTGAAATTGTACTTGTGCTTTTTACTCAATTTAGATGAAACTTCACAAAACAGCCCGCTTTTGTAGAAACGTGCCAGGATCCTCCTGACAATGAGTTTTGAGGCTCAATGAGGATTTCTTTGGTAAACTAGAGGAGTAGTAACTGAGAGGAATGCCTAATCGGCTTATGCACACATGTATGTGGAACTTCATTCACACCGTACATAGCCGACCGTGATAATCGGAGGTGCGGGTCGTAATCATCATATTTTGAATCCCTTTGTCATTCCACTGCTAGAGGCCTAAGCGCCGTGTTGATTTTTGGACTATGCCTCACCGAACTGATCAATACAGGTTGGTGAAGGGATAGGGACCAGGATTTGTCTCAGCTGTGACTCACCACTGGTGGCAGCTGAGGCCAGAAGTCAAATTTAAGCCGCTAGAGCACGGTGCGCTAACCACTGCCGCCACCATAAGCAATTCAGCCAAGGTGGCGAGATGTTAACTACCTCGCCAAGTATACAGGAGGTCGTGTGTTCGATCCCGACCCTGACGCCTGTATATTTGGAGTTTGCGTGTTCCATCTGTAATCGCATGTACTTTTCTCCATTTTTTCCCCCACATTTAGAAACGTGCGTTTCGAGTATTTTGCTGCTATACATTTCCACATAGTGAGCCACTTCGTTGAGCTTTCATTTGTGGCCAGGTCGCTTTAAAAAAAATAACTATATAGCTCAGTGGACCTTACCTGGTAAAATAAAAAAAAGTTTATAGCTTGATCTGATCATGCATCCCTAGTATTTAATTGTCTCCACTGAAGGTTTGCCACTGCGGCAATTATACTAGCAGGTTAGCGGTGATGAACGGACCAGTTTTTGGGTGTGCTGGCGTGCCATCTGCTTGTGGAAGGGTGGCAATGGAGAGCGGTGGTGTAGTGGTTAATAACATGTCCTACAAACTCAGCTAACCCAGTTTGATCTTGCTCACATCGAAAATCTGTGGCAACTATCTGAACTCGTCCTGGACTTCCCCTAGGTCTACTCAGCCATGCGTAGCTGGTGCGGTGCATAAACATCAGCACTGGCGAGGCAAATGCGGCCAGGCGTGGTGCTAGCCATACGACCTCCCCATGCACCATTTCGGTCTTTATATGATAAGAACTCTTGCCCCGACAGTCTGTTAAGGCTTTATAGGGGATCTATACCCCTAGGTTTGATCTTCCACGAAGCTCAGAGTCCACCCTAAATCACATCTGCACAAACCATGCCAAATTCCAATACCTAATTCACAAATGGAAAATTAAAAACTCCACAATGTGCGACTATGATCATCCAGAACGGACCGTACAACAACACCCGATCCGCAAATACGAAGGAGACATCGCAGCGACGACGATGCACTCAGCCGCTCCTGACGTGGTTATCTGGCTTGACCACCTGAATGTGAGATTGTAGTCGTTGCTCTGCATCTACATCAGCCGTAGGAGAGACGACGAACGGGATCTCTGCCTTTGTGCGAAAGGTGTTGCGGCCGGCTGCCTGGACCGCACGGACGCGTTGCGCGAGGAGGTGGACAGGAACGCGTCGGCCCTCCAGCGAACGCTCGCCGCCATGGCGTCTTCGCGGGACGCGGAGATGGAGGCCCTGAGACGCGACCTCTTGGCCGAGCTGTCGGCCCACGTGGAGGTCGCGATGCGGGCGCGCAGGAAGGACAAGGACGAGCGGCGGCAGCAGCGCAAGGAGACGCTCTCGAAGCAGCAGGAGCAGCGGGCGGGGAAGGGACCGGCGGCATTGCATGGTAAGTGCCGCCCCCACCTCATTGTCCATGACTCTTGATGACAATGTATGTAGAACTTCTTTCGCACCGTACGTATACCAATCGTGCTAATCGGAGGTGCGGGGGAAGGACAACAAACAAAGCACAAAAAGCAGTTCTAAAGAAATGAGTTTGCAATCTATATTTAAAAGTGCATAGCTCCAGTGGCTTCCTAATATCAGAAGGAAGAGCATTCCAGACGGCCCCAGACGCGCATCTGAGAGCATACGATGATGCGGTGACCGTCTTTATTCGATGGCCAGCCAGAGCCTTGGCCGTCTAGCACTGCGATTGAAGCACTCCACGAGTGCTCGTAAATCTTGCGAGCTCAAATCCTGGTTGGGGTTTAACTCTACCGCTCCCATCCAATTGCTCCATTATCCACGACGACCTTAACATGGAATGCTGAACTTTTCCCTCACCGAGGGCCATGTAGAGATGTCACATTTATTCGATCGGCCACATAGATGCACACCACAGCCACGTCTAGGGGCCCTCCTTGTGTCGGAATTGAATACGTGTGCTAAAATAACGAAGTCAGTTATTTCCAGCTTCAAAATATACCCCTCTGGTACCTGATTAGTGTGGCTAAGATGCTTACAGTGCAGACTTTATCGAGGTGGTAGGCCTCATGTGGCCACGGGCAGTATGAAGTGGTATCCCTCCCCCTGCCATACAAGTCAAAAAGTCAAAGCGTCTCCCTTCTGAAATAAAAATGCAGAGGCGCCTATTTTCATCGGTGGCATGAGGCCAGCAATAGACAATTCCAGCGATGGACAAATCCAAATTGGTAGGCGGAAGTCTCCCCACAGGACAAACCGAGTGGCCTCAAGGGAGACATGAAACCAAATCAGAGGACGTACAACTTTTTACCAGATTTTGCTCCGAGAAAGGATTGGTAAGACAACAGGACTGTAATTCAGTCATGTATTAATTCACGTCTGGGCTCTCACCTGGTCTGTAAAATAAACCACCGTACATAATATACCAACGCCTATGGCGAAATTACCTGGCGTGCACCCACTTTTGTCAGATTTCAGAAACCAAGGGAGGGATGAGCGACAGACGAGGTGCTGTAGGCTGCTGCAGGGCTACGTCGTGGGCAGCAGACGGCGCAGTAGCAGAAAAATCCGTCGTTCTTATGACGAACAACTCGATTTTTGTCTTTGGGCTGTACGCCTTTTGGCGTCCTCTGGTCTAACACCGTTTGAGACGAGGTTCAATCAAAAGAAAGCTGTCTCTGGTGTGGAGCAATCAGTTTCAAGGACAATGCATATATTATCAGAGTATGTTTTTTGTTTGCATTCTGACCACAAGCATTGTGGTTAATGCAGACATGATTCCTTGTAAAAGGTTTCAGTTTGGTGTTTTAACATCTTAACACCTGTTTTGTTGCCAGAAATAAGGGGAAAACCTACTATCAACTCGATTTGCTTTAACAATATCGACGACCCCTGCTTTCTAGTTATTTCTTATCTTGTGCATCGACTTACTTCGAACGTAGTTTTTTCCTCGTAAAACCTGTCATTTGTGTTTATTATTTCCATGACAAGACATAGTTATCAACAATGTCACGGTTTACAACGATTTCTCTATAATCCATAAGCTAAACTTGGCAAAATGCGCATTCAAATTTAAATTATTTTAAAACATTTTAAAAACATCTCACTCTACACCGTTAAATCCGTGACAATTCGTTGCTTCCATCACCAAAAATGTTCAGTCACGGTTACTTGCGCTGCTGTCCAAGGTGCTGGTTCGGAGCCCGGGCATGCTGAGGCGGCGAGGATGCCCGGCTTCCTGGAGCCGGCTCACCTCACAGAGGCGGCGCAGCGCGGGGGCCGCCGGCTCACACGCGCCAAGGCCACGCACGCACGAACCACGTGGAACATCGCCACCGCTCCCCGCGCTGGCCAGGAAGACGGCACGAAACAGCGCCACAACTCCCCATAAACGCGGGTCGCCGGTAAAAAAAAAAAAACTGGCCATGCTGACACGGAGAGAACTGAGAATGTCAGCCAAGACAACTGCACTCAAAAGTGCTTGGCTTGCACTTGAAAGGTTTGTCCGTTGAAGCCGTCGGCGATTGGCTTGGTCTATAATCCTCCCTTTTGGGGTCATTGTCATAAAGTACCGGCTTTGTGGGGAGTCAACAGTGTTTGTCCCATGGGGTAAACTGGCCCCGGCCATGGGAATGTGGAATTTGTACCACTTCCTTTGAGGTTTATGTTGAAGATGCGCGGTACTCCTTTGCTCGACTGAGCAGGGGCATGGTTTGTTTCTTCCCACGTGAATCAAAATGTCGCCATGCTCAAACGAGCATCGTGCTGAACTCCTCGCTCACATGGTGACCCTGAGCCAGAGGTTTGAATTTCAACTGTATGACGCCACTCTTCACTTCCTACAAAATTGTGTGCATTTTCGTCAACCCCCAAAAAATATATTGGTCGAGGCGACCTCCCCCCAACTGGTTTGTGTGACCCGGCCACCCTACCGTGGGAACGTGAGAGTCAAGGGCCGTGGCACAGCGCCACCATGCCGCTAAGTTTATAGCTGCAAAAGCGCCGCTGTGTGCTGTGTGCCGGTCTACATTTTATTGCAGTAATTTGCTCGAGCAATTCAGAACGGCATCTTAATAAGCTGTACAAGGGGGGGAAGATGTAACATTTTCCATGATGAAATTTATTTTTTTTCGTTAAAATACTTACTAGAAACACACTGCTGAAAGGCAATTTTGGGGCCTCGAATGATTCATGGTGCGTGGCTGGAGCCTGCCAAGAACACAAGGGCACGAATGAGTTGGATTAAAAGGCCACAACACATGACTGAGCTGATGTATCAGTGAAGGTGATATCAGTGTAAGGCTCGTACCCCTAGATTTAGTGGTGCATGTGGCATTAGGGTATGGGTACAAGCCTTGTATTTGAGACTCGGAGTTCCGAGTTAGTTTTGCTATGGGGACACATTAACCTGGAACAAAGGCCATAGGTCAGTGGAATAAAAGGCATTTATTGTCATTGCATGAACAAATATGCATACCTCATATCTGCTGGATAGATCAAGTATGTTAGATCTTGTTTATGACAATGTCCAAACTCCAAAATCGGTAAACCTAACAGCTCCTTTCCCTAATATTGTCACTGGGATGTTGAACTTTTTTTTTACAACCTTTGGTAAAGGTGCAGCACTGCAATCGCTCACTCACGCCACTGGTGGTGGATGGTGCCTCCATTAGAGGAGAGCTCTCGAGAGCCCCTCGGAAGCGTATTTTGGCCTACTCTTCCACAGTGGGTCAGACGTGTTGAAGTCGGTGGGGATGCCCACACTTTTCCCCATCACAAGTGACCTGCCAGGTACATTTCTCTTGAAATATTTCCAGCCGGGTCTGGGGAATGGAGATGTTGACCCTTTGTAAAGCAGGGCTGTGGTGAGTGGACCTGTGGCTACACTGGTTTTCCTCCTAACTGTCTATGTCTGGGACATGTACAATGTTCCAGTCCTTTGAAGACATATTATTCTTAAATCTATATTCAAAATAAAATCACTATTTAGGCAGCAATTAATTTCTCATGAGTTTTTCTTTTTAAATGTTAACGATTCGTGTGATATCGCAAAGTTACATTTGCTTTTATTATCAGGAATACAAACTATAGATTATTCGTATTATCAGTAACTTGACACTATTCCAATTAAACACACAACTATCATCAAATAAAAATGCTGTATAGTTGCATTATATATATAAATCATATCCCACGAGTATTGATTTATAAATACTTTTACTAAAAAACGTAGACATTTTAAAAAATATATGCTATTTAATATTCTGTATATAATAACAATGCTAAAGTATCACACTTTTAAAATACTCTTGGCTGTGTACACGGTTGTTGAGTAAAGAAAAATCGTTTCAAATGTATCATATGTAGTCTGCACATATTATTAAAATACATTTTAAAAATTGTATGTTTTTAATAGACAAAAGCTCATTATTCAATATTTACGACACACGTAAAAATGCGGCTAGATTTTCTGGACGGCTCAGCGAGATAATACCATGTGAGAGAGCTGATCCGGCAACCCTGAAAACATGGGTTTGAATCCAGTTTCGAGTCAATCGTGACATCACATTGCAAAATAAATCACTTGGCATTGGGCAGAGCAATCCATATGCATGGACCCTCCAGAATCAAAGAGTCGCGAGGCTCGGTGAAATGTTCATATAGAAAGGGCATTCTCGTTTTATTTCTTAACATAAATCAAACCCAAAAGTGCCTCCCCTGAGTGGCAGGCATTGATCGTCGGCGCTGATGGCCCTCAAATCGAGGCGCGGCCCTGCGACTGTTCGCTCACGCCGCCGCTGTTGGAAGGGCCTCCGCAAGAGAGAGCTCTGGAGAGCCCCTGGAGGGAGTATTTGTCCGACTCTTGGACTTTGTCCAGACATCTTGGCCCACCACACAGCCTGCTGATCGACGAACTGGCGTACCCATTTAGACTGCTGGGCGGAAAGAGGCGGCGGGTGGGGTGGGTTGAATACACCTGCCGATTGCTTCAAATATCGTGCCTGATTTCAGGCCCAATGTGCTAACCATTGCAACCATGGCAACATCCATATTTCGATTTAAAGCTTTCGTGACTGCAGGGATTCATCTTCTTGGTTCTTTCGGTAAAGTCACGTAGAAGGGAAGTAATAAAATAATAAAAATAAAACATAATAAAATAAAATAATTCTCACGACGTTTCGGCTACAACGCAAGCAGCCGTCTTCAGGTGTTGTAGCCGAAACGTCGTGAGAATTATTTTATTTTATTATGTTTTATTTTTATTATTTTATTACTTCCCTTCTACGTGACTTTACCGAAAGAACCAAGAAGAACATCCATACTCATAAAGTTATTGACACCGCTTTTGGGAAGAAGAAAAACACATGACCCACGTGATGTTTATTGAACCCTCACATTGTTTTTTTTACAATTCATCAAAAAAATAACGACAACGTATTGTACAAATATAAACACACCATTACACAAACGTTTCCTGAATAATACTGATAGCAAAATGTTCGTACTAAACGCGCGTACAAAGGACGAAGGGTAAGGCATCGACATCGGCGTCATGACCACTGCGAGAAAGTGGAGATGCAATGTTTTCTAGGTACGTGATGCATCAACTCGCTTCGCTGTTCGTAAAAAAAACACACGGCAGCTTTTTTTTTTATAGCAGTAACAGTTCGGCAGATGTTAACTGTTTATGCCACGTACGCCGAATCGATTTTGACTTCTCACCACAGGCAAACGTTCCCCTCCACTCAGATGACGAAGTGATAACAATCTAACAGACATTTAAATGACAAGACCGCAACAAATCGTTTCAATTAATCCATCAACTCACAAACTTCGGCCAATGGGTAAATGCAATCGTACAGATTCCTCTTCAGTTCACGTTGACGTATCACCTGCCAAAATTCATGATAAAAAGTAGCACTCGTGATTTTAGGCGGCTGCGATTTCAGTTGGCCGGAAGCTACTCCATGATAACCAGGCGGCTTGCAGGGTAGTTTTCAGCCACCTGAAATCACAGAAAAGCTCCAGAGCCGTAACGGGGACCGCTTAAAAAAAATATGTATCACCGATGGCCACGTGACCGAAAACATGGTGGACGCAGCCCGACACAACAACCACGGGGACGTCGCGACGCGCGTCCACGTCGACCAGACAGCTTGCCGCCGTCGCAGATGTCGTTCAGTGAACCGTGGAACGTGGTGTTTAAAATCGCATTCGGACGGGGGGGGCGGGGAGTCGGCGGGTCGACGAGTCAACGCGCGGAGGCAGAGGGTGCTGCTCTACGGAGGTCACCCGGACGCACACACGACTGCGGGTGACACGCGGACCACGGCGGATCATCTGTCGGTTCCCTGGAGGAGCCGTGCATCGTGGAGGATCTCGTCGAGGCGTTTGACCGGCGCACATCGCCACCATCACCACGTGCCAGACACCGGATAAGCAGACGACTGCCAGTGGCAGGACTCGAGAAGAAGGCGAGATTCAAACATTTGGCTGCAAAGGATGGGAGATGGCCAAATTGCATGGTATATGTGGGAGAGATTTGAGGTATTGTGATTCACAGCTAAGACATCTTAGCTGTGTTCGGTCACTTTAACTCGGGTAAGGGCCTACCTTGTAATCGAGGCCAAGGAGCTCCCACTCTTAACATAATTTATCCTTTACAAATCGAATAATTTGCCTAATCAAGTGAAAGCCAATTGGAGTTGTCTTGTTGTCATAAGACCTGGGGAACTAAAGCAGAAACAGCTCTCTAGTCATACGTACATTTAAAATATGGGCTATCATACTACCAACGCTAGGGGTGTAACAATGTATCGATTCATTGATTAATAACTATTATACTGGTAGGAACCCACTGGTTCCACCAGCCCACAGGGGATTATTGTGTCCGTCCGTCGTGCAGGGAGGGGCTGGGTGGGGAGGGAGGGGCTGGGTGGGGAGGGGCTGGGTGGGGCTGGGTAGAGATGGGCTGGGTGGGGAGGGTGGGGAGGGGCTGGGTGGGGAGGGTGGGGAGGGGCTGGGTGGGGATGGTGGGGCTAGGTGGGAGGTGGGAGGGGCTGGTCACCCCGTGGTGCCCTTATAAAACTCAACGCCGGCTTGTGCCCGCCCTCACAGTCGGGAATATTTTCGGAATACACCACGCCGCCGTTGACCCTGGCCATTGAGCGAGCAACCCAACGTTCCTTACCAGCTCCCTCCGCAGGAATGTGTTTAAGCTCAATACATTCGTAGAACCACGCGCGTAATATAAATGTTTCTGCATTCGTGTGCAGCCACCGGACATGCTACCAATCACCGCGATGCTTACAAGTAATGGTTCTTGAAAGGCGGCAATGAATCCTGACAATCCATCGAACCGGCGATGCCTCGCCGGTTGACTGCACGACTCGACTCACGAGGCTGCCCAGTCCGTCCAGCTGAATTCTGGCACAACTGTTTTGAAAGTACTGAAGTGAGTGGGGGCTCCACACTTTTTCCCCCACCACAAATGATTTGCAAGAAACAACTCACTGCAGTTTAACTAGTTTAACGACAGACAGACAAACACGTCCGTGGACTACGCAATGGTTTTGATGTTTTGTGGAATTTGACCAGGGAAATTAATCTGGGACCTGTGTACTGTCAGACAAACCGCGCCCACCTCCATACCACGGTGGCTGTAGACATACTCGTACATTTAACAACGTGACAGAAAACCAGTGAAATAAATACATGTGTATGGGAAAGGGCAAGGGCAGATCATTAAAAAAAATTGTAGTAAAAAGCCACATTTGCACCTATTGTCATTGTATAAAGCAAGTATGCACTTAAAGCTATAAGCACAGTGCAGAACAGTGAAAGTAAAGACCACGTGAAATGGAATATTTATATCTTATGTACAAAGGGGCACGTTGTAGGCGATGCTTGCGGCAAGGTGTGACGATCACTGCAACACACAGAGAAGACAGGCTTGGGGTCAGTTTTGCACGGGATAAATTAAGTTAAAAGTACTCAAGTCAATAGCTTTCAGCTTTGAGCTGTACCGCTGTGCAAAGTCCCCGAAGAAGCTCCCAGGGCGTGGAGTGAAACGTCGGACATCGTGCCGAACAACACGTGCGTGCCATATGAATGTGGAAGTTCCACCAGTTCTGCAATTTCATCACTAAAATGAACACCGCCAAATGCATTAACAATTGGACTGCTTTCAAATCTGCTTTTTGCTGCTTTATGTTTTATATGGAAAAAAGGTATGGTTATAGCATTGACACCTATTGAGGCGTTATCCATTAAGTCGGTGCAACGTGTTACATCAAAAGCAAACAAAACTCACTTTCTGCCAGCACCCAGGTAATGGCAAGCCATCCGGACCCTGTAGGAATATACATGCACACTATTAATAGCGGAAGTCGCATATTTGCCTAGGAATATTTCAGTGTCGTAAAAACGTTTCTTTCAAAAGGAACGGTATGACATATATTTGGTTATTGGGTATTGAATTTACACACATGGATTGAAACGAGACTGTCTGAGGGTAAAACAATGTCATACAATGTCACTCATTTGTACTCACAGAGACAACACAAACTCCTTGTTTAGCCTTAAAACCTGGAAGGACAAGTGCTTAAATGTGCTTGAAACTATTAAAGCCAGAAATGCACATTAGAGTGTGGGTTGGTCAGCATCATGCCCGACCAACCGTCTTTGCTGTTGATACAAAAGTACTCTGTGTACTCGGCCGGAGTTGATACTAGTGTGTAATAAAGGACTCGGACGCTTCTCTCTGTCCTGTGTCCTTTTTTTGGGTTCGATCTCTTTTCCCTCACGGCACTCCTCCTGAGACTCTCTGCTTGGCAGCTCCACAGCTGCCTTCGCTCCCGTAGCCTTCCGCGCTCCTACAGCTCTGCTGCAGGCTCTTGGTGCAGCCCTCCGGCTCCTCTCACAGCAGCTCCACCGCTGCTCCCCGTTCCTCCGTGCTCGGTCACCGCTGGCTGGCGGTGCCGAGTCTTACCGTGTGTGGCGATCTCGCCACTCCCCAACCTCAGCCCTGCGTGGCCTCTGTGGCGATCTCGCCATCTCCAACCTCAGCCCTGCGTGGCCTCTGTGGCGATCTCGCCACTCTCTGTCTCTATCCCCAACTCTCTCTTCCACCCCGCTGGCTGGCGCCGTCATGAGCCCCTCAGCCACCAGGCTGAGGCACGGCGACCACCCAACGTGTTCACCACCCTTCACTCCCCCGACTGACCCAGATGGCTTCCTGTCTCCCCGCTATAACTTCTCCCCCACGTGACCTTGACTCCTCCCTCTCGGATCGTCATATCCGCCCCGCCCATTTACGCCCGCATTACACTAGGAAGTGAACACTGGTTGTGGGGATTGTTGCCAGTGAATGATTCACTGCACCAAGATGTCTACATTGGCAGTAAACGGGAAATTTGGCAGTCTCATCACCGTGGCACCAAGCTAGGTGCCCTGCGATGCTTACACGGCATGGAAAGGGCTCGCCGGCAGGAGATCAAGGGACAGACCCACGTCATATTGGTCATCACGGAGCTTCAAAATATTTTTCACCCTACAGCAACACTTTCGAGGTTGCTCGATCTTCGCGGCACACCGAACCAAAAACTGTGGGCGCCGGTGGGTGGGTTGCCCTGGTGTGGGGGTGATGGCTGTTTGACATTCTTAGCTGCGACAAAAGGAGAGGGGAGTGTGATTGGGGTGAGGGGCGGGGGCGGGATCGGCAACTGAACAGCATGTAGAGTTCGTCTGTCCTACTTTGCAAACAGTGAGGCCCTTTCCTTCCCAATAATTCCAAAAATACCGCAACACACGTGGGACTGTGCCGTGGCACACCAGTTGTGAAGCATCGAGTTAACAGACCAGGGTGGCAGGCTGATGCACCACCTACATTCCCCCCCCCCCACTAACTTGCTGAGTTATCCAGCTGATGTCCCATGCTCACTGTCGTGAGCATATCTCTCCTCCTCCCACCACCGTTGCTGGAGGGCATCTTCCAACACTTCCACACATATACAGGAATACCCCAGCGATACGTAAGGGATGCGTTCCTGGGAAATGCTACTTACACTCGAAATTACTTAAAGCGAACTCTTAATTTCCCAAAGATATGATGTTAAATTCAGTGGTTGCACTCTGAGTCGACAAAAAAATGGATGACAACATTTCATGAAGTGTGCAAAAATGCATATGATTAGAAGTTAATATCCATTTTTACTTATAGTAAGTACAAATACTTAGATGCAATTTCCCAGCGAAGGTTGAAGAACTTGCTGATTGAGGCCTCGGGGTTAAGCAGCTCCTTGCAGCAGTGAATGACAAATCTGTGCGAAGACAGCTGAACGACATTTGTCTTCTTCTGCTGGTAGAGCTCCTTTATCGCAGTGAATGTCAGTTACATATGTAGTGATTGACTTGGAGACATAACTTCTTGGAGGCAATTCTTTAATTAAACATTAGGCACACTTTTGATTTGAAGCTTTCGTGACTGCAGGAATTCATACTCTTTGGTTCTTTCTAAAGTCACGTAGGTAGAAAATAAATTATGAGCACACTTTGTATTATTTATACGATGCACACCCTACACTGTTACACACTCTCTGTCTCTCACTTATAAGCAACTCTACACTGGTTGCAAGCCTACACACAACGCTAGCCGTCTGACACTGACGGCACTGAACTGAGACAGCCAACTACGCCTAGCAGCGCAATTATCAAGTGGAGACGACAGCGACAAAGGCACGAGACGACAGCGGCGATGGCGACGATCTTCAACAGCAACGACGACGGGGATCCCACTCCAAACGACAGCCCTGAGCTCCCGCTCGGGGCCCCATTTTATCCTCTCAGCGTGGTCTCGCTCCGCCCCAGCCACGCCCCCTTTCTAGAACCTACGAGCGGGTTCCTGATGTGTCCCTTCCGTAACCTTTACCCTAGATCCCTCTCGGGTCTTTTACATGGCTGCTGTCAGACAGGGGCTGCTACAAGCTGCATATCCCCTTCCCTGCCAGCAGCCAGCGCTATTCTACGTAGTGACCAATTCTATGTCACTACACATACATGGACTTAGCCAACCGATTAGCACGGTTGGCTACGTACAGGCGCGAAATAAGTTCAAAGTATGATGGAGTTACACAGATGAAGGGGTAGGATGACCTGCCTTTTCATCTGATGATGAAGCTGGAGTCACGGGAATATCCACCAGAGGAAGCTGCCTCTCTCTTCTGGGGTCTTCTCCGGACCTTCTGGCTTGATTGCAGAACGTTTAAAAAAGTCTGTCCAAAGACAGCATTCTTCTTCTTCTTGTAGCAGTGAATACCGGTTACTATTCGTAGTGGTGGTGTGGTTTCATAGGCCTCTTCCTCAGCTCGTTGTTGTTTCAGACGCATCAGATTCTCATTGGACAAATTCTCAACCATGGGACTCAACTCCCCGACTCCAGAATGTTCGACGGTACGCGCCACACGCATACCGTATGGTATTACTGTCGCAAAAGAGTCCGTTTTCACCGCGTACGTTCCAAGTAAAAAAATTGTACAACATTTCACTTATAAAACGTATATGGTTTTGATAAATATCTGGAACTTACCAAAGGGCAGGGGGCATCTAGACCCGGGGCTCCCTGCTCCCCCTTGTCGCCTTTGGGCCCCCTTTTACTTCGGCGCCCTCGTTCCCCCTGCACACAGTGAAAGATGGTACATTCCAAAGGTTGCCAGCATCAGAGTTTAATAAATACAATAGTTTTCATTCAAGTAAAAATGCTTCGTTATTGTAACAATATAATCAAAGATGACAGTATTGTGAACAACCATCTCTCTGTGGCAAACAAGATGAAGGTAACTTCATGGAAAGGCATAAATGAATCTCCTATGGATAGAACAGGCCACGTCATGGAAATGTAGAATTACCATTTAAAGGACTCAGTGCCACAACAGAGATAAATATTGCCCCAACCCCTTTGATCAGGAAAACGTGTTGATGTTTTGTAAAGTAAAATAATAACGGTGAGTTATAACAGTAAACACATTTTACTGATACATAATTTGCAAACACGTGTTTAGACAAGTGCTGCACATTCGAAGTGAAGATATGAGGTTCCGCAGATCGACTGGCAATGTATTTATTTTGAAATGCAGTCATACCCCGGTTTGCATCGGGGATGCGCTCCAATCAAGGTGCGATGACGAATATCGAAACGACGTGAATCAAAGTGATTTACAAGGTAGGTGGAGGCGATGGATACGATAACAAACGGATGCTGCTGTCAGCGACGTAAAGCGTGGAGTTGAGGCGACGCAAATCCGGTAGCGGTATTCATAAAGCGACGACGTATTTGTGAAACGACGTAAAATGGGAGATGTATATCAGGGATAGTACTGTACTTGTGTAAGGGCCGCCAAAAGGCATACCCCCTATGTGTTGTAAAATGTCGTTAGCCTACTACCGAGCTTAACAGCTCAAGAGGTTTTAAATCAGGCATGGTTGTTACTGATTGGTGGACTGTCAACCATAACGGCTTGAACCAGCAAAGCGATAGCGTTACGGCTCGTGTCACTGGCCGATGGCTGAGCGTGCACTGGATTGGTGTGGCGTACGGCAATTCACCTGGACCGGTTTGAAGGCTAAAAACACAAGAAACGTTGAAATGGGAGTGGGGGGTCGGTTTGAGGCCAGATTGGTATTGAAGGCGCGGCGGTTCGGAAGAATTGAGAAGGAACCCAAAAAATATTTCAGGGATGCGCGATGAGAACTCGGGGTGCTTTTGAGTCGAGTCCCTTTCACGTGGTACTCTTGAAACTGATCGCCAATGAGGTCTTTATAAACAAAACCCAGCTTACGCGATTGCTACAAATATAATTGAGGGGTGTCCATTTCTATTGTGCCACAAAAATATAACACACATGCACACATTCATACGTGTGTACGGTGTTACACAGTCCTATCACATTCGTTCAACTTTTACCCATGGCACATTCGAGGAAGGGGAGTAAAGTCAAGGATGGGAAAGGGAAAACAATGGGAATTAAGAGGAAAAAGGATGTAAAGGGAATGGACAAACGGTACCAAATAGTCAGGAAAGATGAGGAAAGAGAGGAAGAGACTACATAAGGGCCTCAATGCTGCATGGACCAGCATGTGATTTCAAAGGGCTTAGTGGGAAGAGTGGATTCATAATGGGGGGTGGCCACACAGAAGTTACGCGATTCACAGAAGGCCTGAGCAATTATACTAATTAATATTAACCTAATTCATAAATGTATCGTGTTACCTGAATGGTGTTGCCTGGAAAACCATTGGCCACACAGAAGTTACGCGATTCACAGAAGGCCTGAGCAATTATACTAATTAATATTAACCTAATTCATAAATGTATCGTGTTACCTGAATGGTGTTGCCTGGAAAACCATAACCTCAAGAATGATTTCTTTAGCTGAGTTGGTGAGTGTACATGTGCATACCTCTGCAATAAATGTTAGCTCGGCAAAATTGATTGAAAATTGAAATGAAATATGTTTGTGCGTGAAATAAACAGTGGCCAGGTTTAGGCCATCAAGCTCACGAGAACTGACAATGTGGTTTAGCATCTGGTGGCTGCCAAAATTAGAATGAGAGATCTCCCTATGGTTATTGGTGAGGTGATGGCCCAGAAAGCAACTTGGCCACAAAAAACAGGGCTGCTCAGCTAAGTTGCAAGCTCACTTAGCCAAGTAGGGCTGCCGTGGGAATACGAGCGCGGCCCTGAATCCAGCGGATATCTGAGCGAGTTCTAAGCCTGATAATAAGCAGGAGGGTCCTGGCGAAAGGGGTGCTCATAACTTCATCCGGGAAGAAAAAAATACGAATAGAATCCGATGCCCATGATAAACAAATGACTGAAATGTACAGGTGGACACCTCGGAGCTATCTTGTCAATGGATCGTGATGATGATGAAGATGAACCAGGCTGGCCCACTATTAAGTGGTCCGTGATAACACACTATCACACACACACCTGATATTTCATGTAACAAACACCACCTCAAGTGGCAAAACGTCAATAATATGCAATGCTAAAGAACGGCAATAAAATATAATATTGAGAATCGTCTACATTGAAAAAATGTAGACGGTTCTCACACAATTAACTCTTATAGGACACAGAAAACACCGACACCAGTAAAGGTTTGGTACCAGGTTCTGCTCTGGTCAATGGGCTGAAAGGCGTTCAGTGCCTCCAGCCACTGAGCACCTCACGCAACAGCTGGCTTGGTCTCACTGCCATTCGGGGGAACGCACCTTGTCACCTTTGTCCCCTTGCTGACCTGGCTGTCCCTGCAGCACAAGACACAAGCGCAGCAGCGGTATTAGATGAAAAGCGAGACGACGGTTAAAGAATGATTCGGAATGAGAGACAGGGCAGAACCACGCTTCGCTTTGTTTAGTTTTCAATGTAGTTAACCAGCCGGGTGGAACAGTGGTAGAGCTTGCAAGTTGCGATTAGCAAATTGCGAGTTCAATTCCTGGAGGTCGACTCAGCCCATCATCCCGACGGGGTTAATACAATGAATGCCATTCTGTGGGGAAGCCAACAGTAGTTCTATAAATGGGATCACCCCCACCATAGGAGTGTGGAATTTCCACCACTGGCTCAGGACCGTAAATGGGAAATAGGCACTGACTGAACGTTCATTAAAAAAATAAATCACCTTGATTTTTTTTCTCAAAGGCACTTTTTTGCAATAGTGTTTTCTTTGGTTTAAAACACAAGAACATAAATAATAGTTTAATAAAAAACTGATATTTTTCCAAACTTAATTTAAGATGTTATTTGTGATTTACCATATATCACAACTTTTTGGATGAATTCAAAGAACGCAACAAAATCTGCAAAGAGCCAAAGTAATATACAGTGTACGTTCGGAATTTTAAAAGCTAAACTAAAAACGAAACTACTTATTTTTTTTTACCAGGTAAGGCCCACTGAGTTATGTGGCTCTTTGTCAGAAGCGATCTGGCCACAAATGATAGCTCAACGAAGTCGCTTATCATGTGGAAATTTAAAGCAGCCAAATACTCTGAATGTGGAGGGAAAAACCGGAGTACCCAGAGAAAAATCCACGCGTCCATGGGGAGAGAGACACGCAAACTTCGAATATACAGCCATCAGGGTTGGGATCGATACTACAACCTGCTGCATACCAGGCGAGGTAATTAACATTGCGCCACGGTGGCGCCGGGGTGGGAGAAGCCATGTAAGGCTGCTCCGTTTTCAAATAAAATGTAGTTAGTCGACACTGAGGCATTGCTGTTGCGTAACGGTCAGCACGGTGGTCTTGCAATCCAGAGGTCGCAGGTTTGATTCCCTGAAACAATTGTGCAAATTTCTTGATTCCACCCCCCCCCCCCCTTACCTCTGTCCACCGAGCAGCATAATACATCGGTAACATCAGCTAGTCGATCGGCATTTCTGTGTGAGGTAAAGTGTGAGTGGGAAATTACCCACCTCTTTGAAAATTTCTGGCCAGCTTCCAAAAGTTGGCCAAAATACCCTCTATCGAGAACGCCCTCTATAGCAGGGCTGTATAGAGCTCCCTTCAGTGGAGGCCCCTATCTGCCAGCAGTGGCATGAGCAAGAAATTACATGGCTGCACCTTTACCCGTCTTTGTAATTATCATAGTATACATTAGGAATAGGTTTTACTGCAAATTGCTGCCTGTCTGCTTGGCCAGCGCAAGTTCTGCCCGGCTGCTGGAGGCCACGCACCACACAGCGCGTGCGGGGTGGGGGGGAGAGCGGGCACGAGGGTGGCCGGCTTGCGGATTGGGTCACGTGGAGGAGCAGTGAGGGGAAGCATGGGTGGTGGGTGCGGGCCATGGGGGGCTAGGGGGGGGGGCATGTTCGGGCAGGGGTGCGTGAGGAGGGGGAGGTGACAGGGGGGTATGCGGTTGGCGGGGGGGGGGGGGGCTTGTTATGCGTGAGAGGGGGGCACCCAAGGGTGGATGGAGGAGAACCGTCGTTTAACGGCGAGTACTTTCAGACGATATTCTAACAAAGTTCTGCCGGCTGGCTGGCTAGCTGCCTGAAGGACGAACGCTCACGTCCAAAGGACGCGCGGGCTGCTAGATAATATTAAAGCAACACGGTGGAATCATTCATTAACAAGTAAAATGTGCAAAATCGTACCGGCATTCCAGTAAGCCCATTCCTTCCCTAAAAAAACACACACACAACAAGAAATGGTCATAACATTGTTTAATTTTGACTTAAAGCTTTTGTGACTGCAGGAATTCATATTCTTGGGTCTTTCGGTAAAGTCACGTAGATAGGTTCAAAGAAAATATATAGACACAGACGCAATTTCAACTGAGAAGATGGGTACAAACTGAGCATTCATTGGAAGGACGTTATCAACCAATTTAAGTCATAACTGGCTATGATGTTCCCATCCTACCACCTTCCGATGGTAGTTGTGCTTTACGCCCATTTCAAACTTGTGCTTTCACAGGATTCACACTAACACAGCCCTGTTCGCGCGCCGATCACTTTGGTTGCGGCTCTGCGATCTACAATTCACATGCTAATCTCTCAGTAACATGCTCATTTTCACCTGGCAGCCCTTTGATTGGTGGAAAACCAACCACCGTCGGACTGGCTGCCCACCACCTACATTATCATCGGCTGCTGACATTTGGGCTATGCCCATTTCAAACATTTATAAATAGTTTGCCTATGAAGCTAACCCCCCTTTTCCTGAAGACGACCGCTTGTGTTGCGATCGAAACGTCGTAGTTTTTTGTTACTTTTTGTTATTTTCTTTGAACCTATCTATGTAACTTTACCGACAGGCCCAAGAACATTTTTTTCTTTTTGTAAGGGTTGGGAAATAATACAATAGTCTCATTATTGACGAGAAAACATAAAAAAAAAACATCATACATATAAATATATTGTAAACATATCAACAATTATATGTTATTACAATCATTGGATCTTATTTTTCAAGTACTATTTGAATCATTAGACTATAATAATGACCCTCTGTTTAGTCTTAAAACCCGTATTAGAACGTGCTGCGAGTGAACGGCTATTAAGGCCAGCACGGCACATGGGTGGATGATTCTGGCATGCCCAAGAGCTCGTGTTGTAATACTCCATTAAGACACTCATTTAAGGCCGAATTAACCCAGGGGTGGCCCGGGACAGGATTACAGCACCACCTGCCATGAACACTGACGGCCGGAAATCACGCCCCCATCACGGGGGATTGTACTGCGGCACGCACACCGGTCCTTCCAACTCTAACGTAGTGACCAAGTTTCGGGTTTGCCAAATTGCGTTCCTAGATGCGTTGTTTTCCCACACGCGTGTATCCCGTCACAAGTGAATCCCGAAATCGATAAAGCCGAGATGTATCAAAGCGTGGTGCTGAGCTCTGACCACTGTTTCCTGGGCAGGGGTCGAATCCCATCAGTTAGTGAGAGTACATAAATGATATACTTATTATTTTATAATTATTAATTTAAGAGCCTACGACCAAAGCACCAGGAAATATGCTCAATCGCATCAGACCTTGGAAGCTAAGCAGGTTTGCCAACCTGAGCAGTGCCTGGATTAATGACCACCATGCAGTAGAGGACACTGCAGAGAGATCCTCTGTTGTGATGTATTAAGTCTGTTTGCACATCTATGCTCACGGCTTTCCCCAAATATGGAAATCTTAATATTCGAAAGAATCAATGGGAATGCTAGACATACTAAGGCAACAATGTTTAGAGTAGCTGCTTCACTGACATTTTCAATGCACTATGTTACTCATAAAGTAGAGGCATATTCCATCGCTGACCATTAATTCCACTGGAATGCATAATCAAGGTTTTGTTTGTTGGGTTAGATCGCGTAAATATAAATGAGTCGTAAAACGCGCCACCACCCGACACAGCCAATTAGTAAGGTTTGTCATGTCAACAAAACGTGTCAATGAGTTACCACTTCAGCACACCGGTGCGTTAGAGGGTAACCCCACCACATTTACAATTCGAGGATCGACGTTTCGCTGGTGATTACAACCAGCTTCCTCATGTTCCCATTGGAATGTACAAATGAGAAAACGTGTTAAAATGATGCCCATGGCAACTGGCCAGTGTTCCAGATCACGTGACTTACCGGATGACCTGGTGGCCCCTGCTTTCCCATAATTCCATGCTCTCCATTCTCACCCTGTAAAAAGGCAGTGCATTCATCAGCAAAACCACACATTCACATCTCAGTCACGAAATTAAGATTGCGATTAAATGTTTCCAAAAAATCAAGTCTTCAATGTCCTTTATTTAGCCAAGTGAAAGCCAACTGAGATTATTTTTTTTGGTATAGAAAACCAGAAAATGTCTAGTTACAGCAGAAACGTTAGAAACTATTTTTTATCATTGACAATTGGAATTTGGACGGTGGCAATATCACAGAATGACATCTGAATCTCCTGAATGAAATATTAATTAATCAGGCATCGAGATTAGTTTTCTCTTTTGTAAGAAAGACCTGGCATCCCAATGCTCACTCAATGATTAAACGTCGCAGAGAAAATGCATGCACAGCACGCAGCAGTGAATCAGATTGGGTTGTTGATGCCAGTTAGAATGCTTGTCTCTCAATCAGAAACCTGCAAGTTCAATTATTTGCGGTAGATAAACATGAGAAAGAGTGATTGATAATTCAACAGCAGTCATCCTTGATTTGAAGCTTTCGTGACTGCAGGAATTACTCTTTGGTCCTTCCGGTAAAGTCACGTAGAAATAAAATAAATAAAATAATAAAATACGACGTTTCGATTGCAACACAAGCAGTCGTCATTAGGAAGAACTGTGTCTGTGTTTTGTCTCTCTCTGCTTGTGTGTCTGTCTGTGTGTCTCCGTGTCTGTGTTTTTGTCTCTCTCTCAAATTTAGTTCTACCTGATGACGACTGCTTGTGTTGCAATCGAAACGTCGTTTTCTATTATTTTACTTATTTTATTTCTACGTGACTTTACCGAAAGAACCAAAGAGCAGTCATACTATAGAACTCGGCTCCGATTAAGCAATGTCGATGATTGCTTCCCTCTTGCTCATTTGAGCAAGGATGCATTTTCAAAATGAGCATTTTATATTAAATACAGTTGTAATATTTGAATTGCATCGAGGACGTTGTGAAACGAACGTGCGTATTTTCCATCTATAAATCTAGCACTTTACGATTTTCCCAGCCTGAGAGTGGCCCGATAGGTAGGTAACCCAACCTTGAGTGGAGAGCACTGTTTCCCAATGCCGCGAGTCTCAAGTCACGAGTCGTTGCTGTTCATGTCTTAGTACCTTCTCGCCTTTTGGCCCGGCTGGTCCTAAGGGCCCCGGAAGTCCGACTGGCCCCTGGTAATACAATGGGAGGGTGACGGGAGAACGTTTGGTGAGAGAATGAGGCAGAGCATTGCATATGTTCGGTCGATGAGGGAAGACAGGTGAAACGCAGAGGACAGAATGTATGAAGAAAGCAAGTGAAAGTCGAGAGGAAAAACAAGCAATTTAGGGTGAGGAGTGTAAAAGGAGAATGTGAGACAATGAGAAGAAGGGTATGGTGAAAGCAAGACATGTTTGCCCTGATTCCATCCTTGACAATACATCCACAAAAAATCTTTTGATATTTATCTCCTTTACAGTTGGCAAAGAAGACTTCAACTCGTGTTTGAGAAAAATCGGTATTATTTGACAATTTTAAGACGATAATTTAACCTATGGAGTTGCAGTGCAGTAGCGTCATGTTGAAGTCTAGAAAGTCACATAACAGATTTGAATTCATGGATATTAATATTACTTCAACTCGAGTGAGGAAAGCCACTGTCATTTTCCGTGACCATTTTCCATTAAAGTGCTGCTTGAGTTGTTGTAAACGTGGGTTTAGAGTATGTGGCTGCTGCTAGAAATGTATACGTCATAAGCCACTTCGTTGAGCTATCATTTGTGGCCAGGTTGCTTCTAAAAAAAAGTGCTCTATAGCTCAGTGGGCCTTACCTGGTAAAATAAAGAAAAAGTAGAGTTTTAGTTTGTCCAGTTAGCATTTTAATTGTGTTGTGTTTTGTGTGTGGGAGGAAACAGGAGTGTGTGGAGAAAACACATGCATCGCAACAGAATAACCAAACTTTGCAAGAGAGTGTCCTCCTTTCGTTTGGATACTAATTGCCACCGGTGTTGAGACCTTTGCATCGCCAGTAACGAAGTGCAGCGCAGTAATCAAGACCACGGAGTTTACACTTGCATGCATTCCTCACTGGTGCACAGAGCGTAGCAAGTGAGGTTTGGTCGTGCACACCTGTGTAGAGCCGTGAAAAGAGGGGCCGGCACACACAAGGCAGAGTCCCAAAGGATGTTTTATTTGACTCATACACCGCGTTGGGATTTGAGCGCCCAAGCAGCCAAAGATGCCCCCGCCCAAGTAACGGCCGCGTCTCCATTTCTATCCGCACGGTGTCCCCCTGCTCCCCTTTTTCTCAGGATGCTTGTGAATTTCACACCCGCGGCGTTCACCCTTGAAATACCTGGCTCTCCGCTAAGCCAATGGGAGGCTCCCTGCTCCGTATTCCAGTGGAAGGGAGGTGGGGGTAGTGGATAACGATAAGAGCACGTGAGACCCACTTGAAGTGGTGGCAGTACAGCAAGTCGGTTGCTGACCTTTCCGTGCACAGTTGGAATATTAGTCTGTCAAGTGCGTGGGCTTTTGCTGGGAACTCTTGATTTTTTTGTACAAGTGAATCTCTTAATGCGGAATCGTCTTATCAGCATTCCAAGCAGAACGCATTCCAAGAAAAAAGTCTAAAGACATGAGCGTTTTTTTTAATTGTTAATGAAATAAAGAACCCAACAAGAATATCAAACAGAAATATCAGTTGACTCACTGTTGTTCCCGGTGGTCCACTCAGTCCTGATGCCCCCTACAGTGTGGAGGATGGAACAGAAAACATAAAACGATACACTCAGATTAAGGTGTGGGTCAGTGGTCGTCACAATTCAAAACCCTGAGCCAGCGGTGGAAATTCCACAGTTCTGTGGTCGAGAATCTCGTAGGACAATAAGGGTGGTGTCAAGATGAAGAGGCCACCAACAGATGTCACCAATACTTGCCACCAGAATACCATTAAAAGAAGAAAAGCAACGAAGACAAAACAAATATAGATTCATACTTGTTAAAGCGTGGGGGCACTTTTACGCTCTGACTGCATGACTGAAATATACCGTTCAAGAATTCAATCCTGCTGTAGTCCAGAAATGCTGACACATTGCAGTTATCAAAACCGGAGAGCCGTGAGACCTTCTCTCGTGTCAGCGTGATGGAGTGACGATATGAGGCCTTGCGTGCGGGTGATGAATCAGCCACCTACCGGAAGGCCCATGGGTCCTCGGTCGCCCTTTTCTCCGACGTCTCCCCTTTCGCCAGGCGCGCCCAATCTCCCCGACAAGCCCTGGTGGAGCATGGCCAAAATGCTAGCGTCACTTCAACGGCACTTGCACACACACACACACACCTACACAGTCTGACCCTTGTATCTGGTTGTCAAAATATAAAAATGTATATGTTTGTTTCAGATGAGACTGCAAGATAGTCCGTGGAAATTCTTTATCCAGGGTCGGCAAAAACCCGGTTTTCTCTTACAAATATCCGGGGGACATGGCCATCCAAATATCTGGGGTCAAGACCATGGTTGCACGGAGTTATTCGGCACACACTTAGAATTATCGCAGGTTGGGACCACAGATAATTGTAGTTGTTTGACAGATTATTTCAAATATCTGGGGTTATCCAGAGTGAAATGGTAAAAAGACCCGAGGACCACCTCCTGCCAATAAATCAAGTATGGGTGTGCAAATGCTGATGCGGTGCTTTCTGCACTTCATTGTTGAGGTGCTCGTCCTTCGGGGGTCTCTCCGAACATCATGGCAAGCAAGCTCCCTTCCTATGCCCATCTCACGTTAGAAACTAAACTATTTTTTTATTGTACCAGGCAAGGCCCACTGAGCTATATAGCTCGTTTCAGAAGCGACCTGGCCGTAGATGATAGCTCAACGAAGTGGCTTATCACGTGGAAATGTATAGAAGCCACATGCTCTAAACACATGTTGATTCTAAGTGTGGAGGGAAAATCCGGAGGACCCGGAGAAAAATCCATGCAACCACGGGGACAGAGATACGCAAACTCCAAATATACAGCAGGTGTCAGGGTCGGGATCGAACCCATGAGCCTCCTGTATATCAGGCGAGGTAGTTAACATCTCGCCATCTTGGCTGCAACCCGTTAGGAAAGAGCCCATTAGGACTGGTGCCCGAGAGGTCAGGCAACGTGATGACTGTGACCTCCTGCCGTCCCCGAACGCCCATCGAGGGTGGCCCCCCACGTGCATGCCTGCTGGCCACGCCCCCATTTTGTGACGTGTGTTTGGTGATGCATTGTGGGTAGGGGCGGGGCCTCTTCCAAACAAAGGGAGTTATCCCGCAAATTCTTACACTCATCCCAGGGGTGATCCCGTGGTCATGCTCACGGGATAAACGAGTGAATCCCGTGTTGGGACCCTGGATATTCGGGAAGGGGGGGGGGTACTGATCGTCCCGTTTACTCCGGATAAAACGGACTTTGACTGTAAATTGTTAACGTGCCACTTTTGTTGTTGTTGTTATGATCGCACTTGCTTACCCAGAAATGCCACGCCGAGTCTCATGACGCTCACGCGAGGGTCCTGATTAAGTTTACAGAGAGGGTGCTGCTATTGTGTCATCCATATTGAGCTGATTCACGTGATCATTCAAATCTCGAGGTGAAATTCGTTAACGAAGAGATTGTTTACACGTCATGCGTACCATGTCACCCTTGTCCCCCTTTTCTCCAGCATCTCCTTTGTTACCCTGAAAACACAAAGATGATCTTAGTGCTGTGTTAGGCATGAAGGCGTTAGTTGTTTCTCGCAGTTCACCAAATAATTAAAAGTTTGTCCCCACACTCAAACAGCCATTGGTGGTGCTCATGGTCATTGATGGTGCTTTATTCAGTGGTGGAAATTCCACATTCACTTCAGCCGAGGACCTGTCTCCCCATTGCATTCATACAATGCAGTACTCAAATTTATGGACCCTGGAGGAATGACGGGCTGAGTCAATCCGTGACCAGGCAGCATTTGAACTCACGATCTCCTGATTATGAGTTGGCCACACCTGCTAATTATAAAGTGGAAGCATTACTTACTATGAGCGAAAGCAGTGTTATGTCTATATTGACTTGTAGTTTATGACAATAATATGCCGGTAATAATAGTAATTTCAACTTGTAACGTGCTGCACGTAATTCGCTCACTGTCAATGAGAGAACGACTCAGAGGCGCAAGGAACCAAAGAAGTGGGAAGGCAGCAGCCAGGCGGTGGGCAGTCTCCGACCATTGCCTAAGCTCTGTGGTGGTCCTATGCATTTCAAGATGTTTTCTTCTTAATAGAAAGTTTCGACCTGGGAGGAAAATGGAGCACCCAGAGAAAACCCACGTGTGCCAGTGTCAACACTCTGTCCTATACAGGTGGAACAGGCGGAGTCGACATTTGCTGTATTGCCTTCTGGCAAAACAGGGTATGGTACCTCGACGCCTAATGGAAGGGAGTTCCACAAAATGTGTACGATCTAGTGACCCTCGCCTTCCACCATGCCGGATTGTTGGTGTGCGCCACCACCTGGCGATACCTAGGCTGCCCGGCAATACCTAGGAGTTCAACGAACACTCACAGACAACATTGGTGGTGAATATCTGAACTGGTCCTCGGACTCCCCTACGTCAACTCAGCCTTAAATGGGTACCTGGAACGATGTGTAAACATTGCCACTTTGGCAGACAAAAGCGATCGGGCATATTGCTGGCGATCCGCCTGCCGCGTGCCGTGCCAACCTTAATAGGTGCTCGCAAACAGCACCTGCCTCAAAAGTCTGTTAAAGGCTATCCGAGGATTCTTTGACTTCGGGAGGTGCTGATCGCTCGAGTCCGTACTCACAGGGGGACCCAGGGGCCCGAGAAATCCGCGCTCCCCCATTGATCCGGGTAGCCCTGGTGTCCCCGGGATTCCGGGGGGACCCAGCTCTCCAGGGAGTCCACTCATTCCCTGCGAAGCAACGGCCAACACAAGCAATCGTTCATGCAGTCAATTATTACATGAGTCAATCTAGCAACAAATCAGAGTCGTTTACCTAAACGGGTTAGAGCACATTGCTAAGTTATTTATTTTTGAGGGGATACCAGGATATCTGATTTTACATCATATACACTGCATATATTTGTAATTTTCGCCATTAGCCAATGTATAATTGTGCTCATATTGTGCTATTGGTCTTTTCATGGGGTTGTTGAAACATGGTTCTAGAACTTCTGAGCAGCAGAGCTTCAATTTATGCCAGCAAAAAGGTACCAGAAGATGAAGCATGTGGCTCAATATTCAGAAGACTGATGCAGCTGCATCAGACTAGGCTCAAAAGAAAGCTGTCTCTGGTGTGGACCAATCAGTTTCAAAGACAATGCATATATTATCAGAGTATGTTTGTTGTTTGCATTCTGACCACAAGTTTCAGTTTGGTGTTTTAACATCTTAACACCTGTTTTGTTGCCAGAAAAAAAGGGGAAAACCTATTCTCATGACACAGCTGGCTCAATATTCAGAAGATGAAGCCACTGGCTCAATGTTCAACACCAACTCAAAGATGTATTGGAACTTCGAAGCAGCAGAGCTTCACTTCATGTCAGGAAAGAGGGCGCACACAAGAGTTTAATAAAATGACAAACCTGGGGGCCGGGAGATCCTGGCAAACCCGGGGGGCCAGGAGGACCCTGCAAAAACAATTAAAATAACAACACGATTCAGGGATCATCGCAGGTCTACTCACATTGTCTTACCTTTGTTGCCAAACCCATGGTTGTCATTTCAATGCTCATCTCGGTAACCCACAAACCCCCAACAACCTGCATAAGGGCCCTACCCACCACAACCTGATTGTCTTCGAATATTTTTTATCATCATCGTCGTCGTCAGCCGTGGTCAATCCACTGCTGGATGAAGGCCTCCCCAAGTCGCAGCCACCTCTCACAATCCTGCGGTTATATAATCGACCTGGCACCTGAACAGCGAACTGACTTCATTGCTCGATCTCCCCAGTGGCCATCCACGCGGGTGCGTTCCAATCCTTGGCTGCCACTTCGTTATTATTCTTGACCATCGGAAATCGCCCCTTCTTACGGATATTATTGTATGCTGTGTTATGCTAGGCGCTACGTTATATTTTGAGCCTTTAGGATACTTTTACCTGCGTCCTGTCATGAAATTCCTAGCATCCTCCACAAGCTTTTATCTCGCAAGACCAGAAGCTTGTTCTCCAGTTGCCTCAATAACATCCACTTCTCTGATGTGTACAATGACACAGATATTACACGCGACGTAAACACCCACTGTGTAACACTGGAGGCCATATCGTCACTTTAAAAAGTTGGTTTGTGCAGTCCACTGAATACAATCTACCCTTCTCACAAACCTTTGTACAATGCGGATTACTTACATACACAACATTCTCTACTCCCTTCACATTCTGGCTGCTCACTGAGGCCGGATACTGGCGTCTTTTTCCATTAAAATCATCATAAGCACCTTAAACATTCATGAACAAGCTATGCCCAAAAGACTCCGTTACCATCTCAACGTGTTCAGTCCTTGGTAATTACACAGGCTGCTGTCCTACCATCAATCCAAAATAACCACCTTAATAATGCATACGTTTTTTCCCCGTCCCTTGGATTCAGCGCAGGGAATTATGGTTTCATAATGGAAAATGTGGTTAATTGGCCTTGAAGCCACTTGCACACAATGGGAACTTGTACACCCAAACGATGAATAAAAATAAAAATCAAATGCTCAAAACCCGATGCACAATGCACTGGTCATCAAGGTCTCATTGCTGTGTGAAAAGCATATCTTATTTATCCGCCCCTGATGAAGATGTGAAGGTTTGCGCTGCTCAGACTAGGACTGAAATTCATCACACGTTTAGCTGCTAGCCTCATATAGGTGGAGTGGAAGTGCAGTGATTAGCGCACAGAGCTCTAAAGCCAGTTTCCTGAGTTCAAATGTTTAGTGATAGCGAGGCCAATCCATATAATACTATTGATTTATTTTAATGTATCGAGCATTTATGCAATTGAATCTCACAATAATGCATAATTTACAAACACAGAGGTGCATATATTTATTGAGATGTTTCCAGCAAAATAATGAGTGATTGTACATGTGGGAGAAAATCGGAGCACCCGGAGAAAACCTAAGCCTGTGAAGGGGACAGCACTCTGTTATAGTTTAACGCGTAGGCTTTCGCGACCAATCTTATATATAATAGAGGTTTTTTAGTTAGATCGCGTCAATCTAAATGTGTGGTTAAACCCACCACCACCCGACACAGCCAATTAATAAGGTTTGCCCCGTAAACAAAAAAAATGCCCATTAGTTACTGTTCCATACAGATAGGACAGATGTTATTTGTTTACATTTTCTGTACTGCCTTCTCCCGTACACCCAGGGTAAGGCTCGACACTCATGGGAATGGAGTTTCGCAACATTTGTGCGATTCACCAACCGTCGCTGCCTTCAGGCGTGCACAGCCAGCACTGCTCGGCAGTGCTACGACCCACGTGGTGTGGAAGAGCCTTCATCCAGCAGTGGATTGACAAAGGGGTGTAGATGTAAAATGTATCTCCATGCACCATCTGAGGCTGGCACTTTCATTCTCAAAGCACGTGAAAGAATTTGCCAGAATGGCTTTGCCATTCTGGCAAATTGTCCGATGATGCTGGATGTAATTACCAGCGAAACGTCGTACTGAAATTGTAAATGATGTTGATTCACTCTTCAACACACCGGTGGGCTAAAGTAGTGAACTATTTGTCCTTTGTAAACGTGATTTTTTTTTTACTGTTATTTGGCCATGTCGGGTGGTGGAGGGTTATGACACATTTATAAATAACGCTATCTAACCCAAAAACCTGTATTATGAATACTGGTCGTGAAAGCCTACGTGTTAAATATTCATGCTCACTTCTACAAGCTGTGTCCAAGGCCGCTTGAATCCGTTTGCATATGCAGTATCCTATTTCATGCAAGCATCTTTAAGACGAGGCAGCTCACCTGCATGGCATCTCGTAGAAGGCCGTAGTTGTAGTCCCGGATGTCGGTAGAACCAGGTTCCCCGTCCAGACCGGAGGGACCCTGAGAGGGCGCAGTCATGGCCAGTGATTCGTAAAAAGCCATGGGAATTCATCTTCTTGGTAATTTCCACCCACGGGTTCGTTTATAATGTAATTGATGATGGGTTAAACCGATTAAGCAAGTGGAATATAAAGGTGAAAGATCCAAGGTCGAAATCAGGTTACTTGTGAATTGTTAGTTTATTGCATTGTTGCAATAAAGAGACTGCATTTTTTTAAGTCCCGGGAATTGATTTTGGGTTCAATTCTGGATATAAACCCATCATTAAACGTATTTATAAGGGATAGAAAATTGGTGGTCTCAGTCCAGTCACCAACAACTGCACAAAAAACCCATTGTATACAATCTGGACCTTCATCATATTCTGTAAAATTAAATTTTATCAGCCTAATCACCAATAACTGCACTATACAACGACAGTATTGTATGAATGTGTATTTAATTTAATAAAACCAAAATGTGAGGACTAAAATCAACTCAATCCAATGGAGTTGTTACGCACTGAATATGTGAATATATTGGTTCACCACTCTTTACAAAAGAAGAATATGAATTGGAATTGTATTGGAAAAAAGTTTTGCTGGCTTGCTAGCTGGTACTCAGGCGGGCAATTGCACGATGGTGAAGTCACCCGCATCCCACAGCGTGGAGCTGGGCTCGTGCGTCGCACTGATGTCATGCACCCCAACAACAACCGCCATTCGCCACTAAGTGGCGGTGATGTTACCACGGCGCTTGTGCCAGGCTAGGTGCACTTTAAGGCCACGTGAAGTGTCGAACGCCCACTGCCAGGAAGTCAAGGGACAGACCCAGATGCCATGGGTTGATTGACTAAGATGACTGGGCGATGCACCACCTGTGCCCCCTACTGTGCCACCCGCCCCCAACACACCCACCCTCCACCTTGGCCATGTATCCCGTACAAATGCACAGGCAGTACCAGTTACAAAATATATAAACTTTAAAGTCAGTTTTAAGTTGCTGTCAAGAGTTCACAGTAGCACCCTAGTGTCTTGTCTGCCCTGTGACTGCTGGACCTTACGAGTTTACTGCAGTAGCAGGACCAGAGCACACTGCTTCGTCCTTGATCTCATTCGCGAAACGTCGACCCCAGGGGTCAGCAAGCTGCGACTCCGGAGCTGCATGGCGGCTCTGTAAGGACTGCTTCGTGACGTCATTCATTAATGGCCTCCGTCTCGTATTCACTATGGCTGCAGATTTTTCGATTTAAAGCTTTCGTGACTGCAGGGATTCATCTTCTTGGTTCTTTCGGTAAAGTCACGTAGAATGGAAATAATATAATATTATTTTATTATGTTTTATTTTTATTATTTTATTATTTCCATTCTACGTGACTTTACCGAAAGAACCAAGAAGATGAAATATGGCTGCAGAGTTTGGTAGTACATGTTGTTTACGTCGTTTATTGTGAAAATTCGGTCACAGTTCCGATGATCACTGTTTCGTTGCTTTTATGGCTTTATTTTGGTGATTTTCGAAAAGTTTTTTGGTTTAGCCATGTTTGTTTTTTTGCTGTACAGAGTTAGACTGATGGCCTTAATCTAAGTTGTCTTGTGGTTGTTGTTGTTGTTGTTTGACTTGCATCTCACTGGGATTTTTGCACACAGTGTTGGTGTACGGTGCTTTTTCTGCAATATTTTTTGCTGTCTTTTCTTGGATTTTCTGTTTGCACATAGTCACTTTAAGATGTTTTCTTGTTCATGTTTTTGTTTTTTGTTTGTTGCGGTTGCACCCGATTCAAGAGCCGAATGGCTCACAGGGATATACCTAATAAATGAATTTGAACCACGTGCATTGTGGCTCTAGAAATATAGATTTACATTTTTTTACCGAATTCGACAAAAATAATGCTCTTCTTGTTATTTTGGTTTGACGACCCCTGCTTTAACCCATGCGGAGACTGCCTACAACACACAACCGAGTTGAACATCTACACAAGCTGTTGGCTCTGTGGCTTACGTCTCCATCAGAGGCCTCGCTGACCTAAATGTTGTGCAACATCGCGGAAAAAAACAACCGAATCAATTTTTTCACTCTCTAAGCGACAAGCAATGAGGCTAAAATGAAGTTGGATTTTTTTTTTTTATTGGTGTGTATTCTTAAAAAAAAAACTCTGACAAAGTGATGTCTGTTGAAGTGCTCGCTTGGTACGATCGAATTGATGAACAATTACCCTGGGTCCTGCAGGCCCTGCTGCACCAAGCTCGCCTTTTTCTCCCTGCGGGGTCACAGGCAGAACGTGTGCAACCAGGTTACATTCAATTGGCATTTGTACGTATGTTGTTACGTATGTTGAATATTCTTTCATACCGCACGTAGCCATCCGTGCTAATCACATGTGCAGGGAGAGACAACAAACTGAACACAAAAAGCAGTTCTCAAGAAATGAGTTATCAAGCTAGATGATTTAAAAGAGCATAACTCCAGTGGCTTCCTAATGATGGAAGGAAGAGTGTTCCAGACAGCCAGAGAAGCGCATCTAAAAGCGCACGATGGCCAGCCATATGCAGCTACGAGGATGACCGGAGTTTGCGTGATGGTGTATGCTCTGTGACGAGATTAGCAAGGTGTCGTGGTTCAATTGCGGGAAGCACTTTGTGTGTAATGAGTGCAACCTTATGAACGAACTTGGGTCACTGCACCCCAAACACATCGTCTCACACTCGCAACAACAACAGCAACAACCGCTGTTCACCACCAAGTGTTGGTGACATCACCACGGCGCTTGTGCCAGGCTAGTTGCACTTTAAGGTCACGCGAAATGTTGATGGCCAGCAGGAGGCCACGGGATAGACCCAGGTGCCATGGGTTGACTGACTGAGGTGACTGGCAGATGCACCACCTGTGCACTCTACTGTGTCTTCTTGCTCCGTTTCAGCCACCTGGTGCTCCACTCATTGTTGTGACAGTCTGTTGGGGCGATTGCTGTTAGCGAGCACCTATGAAGGCCAGCACCACGCCAGACCGCCTTTGTCTCCCCAGTGGCGATCCTTACACACCACACCAGGCACTTATTTGAGGCTGAGTTGACCTAGGGGAGGCCCAGGACCAGTTCAGATATTAGTCACTAGTGTTGGCCATGAGTACGAATCGAATTCCGGTCGCTGGGTTCGTAGCGCTACTGCTCCCCCTACACACAGACACACACACACGCACCTTCAATCCCAAAGGCCCAGGCTGTCCAGGAAGGCCGAGGGGACCAGGAAGTCCGGGGGGACCTGGAGGCCCAGGAGGACCAAGTGACCCTGCGTGTTCAGATTCCCTCGTGACATTTTCACCAGATGAACAGAGCGCTCCCTTTTCTCCCTTGAGAGGCAACACAAAAAAGGTATGGAAAACTCACTCCAGTTCCACCCAATGGGTGTTGAGGCATGATGGAAGAGAACGGGACTGATAAGGGCCTGAAACAAGGATGCCACTAAAAAAAGACCCACCTCATGTTGTGCTTTCATAAGAGTTTGAAGCTTTGGGAGTGAGGAAAAAAGTATTTAACGTAACTTTTTGGGGGTTAACGAATGGGTTAACATCCAAAGCTCAGCGCACATGGATTTAATCTATTTGCTTTGCTGACATTTGCTGGCCATCTTGCCACCCAGTAGGTTTGAAAGATTCACACATGTGTGTGATCTACCAACCTTCACTTCTAAAGTGCTGGTTTAGGGCATAACATCACCGCACAGACAAAATCATTGTTTCAGTGGTATGCATCTCCTCAAAATCAGCCTGGGGGATTCAGCACACTTAAGAATCTAGTGTTTTCTCAGGTGGGAGCCCAGGATTCGAACCCAGGCTCCCACTCTGACATGGGCAATGTGAGCCCCCCTGAGTCACCTGGTCAGATCAAATTTTCCCTCTTTGCAAAACGCCAACCCCTTTATCAAGCAGCTCCCACCCTGCCGCCTGAGTTCCTACTTCTCATCCCAACTGTTGATCCTGGCAGACACCGCCAAATACTGGCTTTGCACATTAGGTTAAGTGGAGCAAGCCTCCGTTAATATTCCCCAAATGGGCCTCGGCGAATTTTCGCTGCAGTTACAAAAACTGCGGCGCCGATTCCCGGTTTCGGGGAAGGAAGCAATTCATGACAGTGCGGATGAAGAAATGTACAGGGGATTTTCAATTACGCCTTTCGGAAGAAAATACACTAACGTACATTTTTGTGCGAGCGGTTATTTATTTAAAATTTACAGAGAGGGGATTAAAGAGACGTTTCGGCCAATCGCCAGCGCAATGCGCGTGCAGCTGAATTTAGTGAGGACTTTGGGGACTTTGCTCGCTACTCGATGGGCCCTAGAGCTGTTGTTGCCGTGTCTCATTGTGCACCGAAGAAGCTGCTGCCTGCCTGCACAGGGAATGGTGGTGGGGGGCGCCCCCCCCCCCGTGTTTTTGGCACCTGCAGCTTCCTTAAAACAAATCTTCTTTCGTCTCCCAAGTCCAGGTGCAGTGACTTCATCGGGGAACAATGCCCTATGCGTGTTGTTTTGACGCTAAGGGTTAGGGTTAGGGGCGGGCACTGTTGCTACGTCTAGGTTATAGGGTTATGATAATTATTTTGGTTACATTAAGGCTAGGGTTACAAATACCAGTCTAACCGAGGCTTAATTTCTCACTCGATCATTTTTTTTCTGGAACGCTGCTTAGACTGGCTGGGAGTAGGGATTTTCGGCGTAAGGCACTACCACTAGAGTATTTTTTTATGCTTATCCATAACAGTCCTATATTTTTTAAGCCTATATTCATATGATCATTATGAAGACGCGATACGTATCATGAGGGCAGAATGAGGTGGGATGGAATATACCCTTACCAGACTTATTGAGTAAGTGTTAATATGCGGATTGTATCGGAGCATGTAAACGCAAGAGTTACCTGTTGGGTATGGGTCAAGTGTGCTACAGTAAAAACAAACAGTGCCAGTGTCTCCATGCTCAGGTGAACGCTGGCTTGTTGATATTCACTGCAGAGGCTCTCGAAGCAGCGGTGATAAGGACCCAGGGTAATTGTTAAATTCGATCGTACCAAGCGAGCACTTGAACAGACATCACTTAGTCGGACATTAAAAAAAAAGAATACACACCAATAAAAAAAAATTCAACTTCATTTTAGCCTCATTTCTTGTTGCTTAGAGAGTGCAAAAATTGCCGTGACAGGAACCAATCTGTCATACGATGGCCATTGTCAAGCAACAAGTAAAGCTTAGATTTAAAGGCATCATTTCGATAATTGCAACGAAGTATTGCTGACTTATATAACAATACTATTTTTTTCATGAGGGTCGTGAGCTTCAGAGACATGGATTCACACAGACAAGTGTGGAGGGGTCACTCATCTACAACTTCACAGCCCTGGCCGAGCGGCAGAATACCCGTGGCAGGGGACAACCTTACTGTTTCACCATCATCAGCCATGAGCTATCCACTGCTGGATGAAGGTCAAGCTGTAGCCCACGCCATCGCCTCGTCTCTCGTGTGTTTTTGCAACGTAATAATCCATACGCAGCTCCTGTACACCAGCTGATCTTAAAGCTTCATCGACAGCAGCGGTGGTTCGCCCTCTCAGGAATGATCCCTCCTTTAGCTGCCACTCCGTCGTAAGTCTCGATGGTCGGAAATTACCCCTTCCAGCGACATATTCTTCCCAAGTTCACGCTACGTCTGCAGTCAATATAATGGCAATGATTTGTGTGCTCCGTTCCTATTTCTATCTCTCGCTGTAATTTCAGCATGCACCTCTAAATGCATCTCTGTACGTATGTATAACTTCTTTCGCACCGCACGTAGCCAACCGTGATAATCGGAGGTGCGGGGAATGACAACAAACGAAACACAATCTGGAAAATTTCGTTTTCAATGTTTATGCACCTTTCAGTTTTTGTTCAATATTCTTTTTTTATGAGTTTCCATGCTGTCAATCTACGTGTAATAGCAGGTAATATACAATGATTACAACTCTAATAGTTGGGCACACGAGTTTATTACTTTTCATAATCAATACGTTCCAAAAGATCACAAACTCTATTATATCTGCCTCATTATTCCATCATATTGATTCTGTTCCATGTTCAATAACGGCCGTGGGTAAACACGCTACAGTTGTGTTTCTACACCAGATATTGTCGTTTATTTCGCGAAATTGCTCTTCCAGACTTTTGCTTTGACTCAAATGTATCCTGAGACCAACTTTGTAATCTCCTTTATTACGTTTTTTATTTTTTTTGCATTTCATTGCAATTGGTTCTTAAAATGACTAAGTCAGCATCATGTCTGAGATGCTACAATTTCACTACACTGTAAAGTTCCTCGACCAAGTGGACCATGCCAGTCCTATAACATGTCAGTAAGTTGACTATTCTAGTCATAGGGCGATGTTAGTACGATAATGTGGCCACGCCAGCACCACAGCTCATAACGATGGTTGCAAAGAAATATATATTTTTAAAATCCAAGCTCCCACAAGCAATGAGGCAATGCTCATCTGTTTCAGTAGACCTGAGCCAGCAGTTGAAATTCCACATTGCCATGGCAAGGACCAGCCTCTCCATAAACAATCATTCGTTCCATCTCATAAAGCGGTGCTCGTATTATTGATTTTGGAAGGATGACGGCTTGGAGTCAAAGCCCGCCCCCCGGTATTTGATCTCACAACGTTTCCAATTGTGAGTTGAACCCTGCAACAGCAGGACCACCCGGCTGAATGACCCCACGTGTGCACAGCCCCAGAAGGGCACCGCCGAGTTGGACCGTGGCGTCGTTTCTCTTCTGCTCATGTGGACTCGAGGCATCCCGATGTGGATATGCTCTTTCCTTGCCAAATGCTACGCGACAAAGGCATGCAAATCACCGCACGTGTACGCGAATTTTTTTTTTTACGAAAGACGCATTCATTGTTCCATTATATCCGGGAAGTTTTATGTATTCAAGCCACTGGGTAGGCTTGAGTTGAGTGTAATTGGACCAGGCAAAATGGAAGTTATTTCAGGGACGTCATCAATTAAGCCATCGCGCCTGCATTGCTCACTGGTGGTCCTGTCTGCCCCACTTGACCACAAATGGGGTAAGTGGCCCCAACGTTCGGCTGAAGCCGACCTGCGACCGGGATTTGAACCCTCAAGCTTCTCATTGTCTTTGAACAGTTTGAACAGTTTATTTAGAATTGCCCTGTGAGCTAAGAAGCTCTTGAATCGGGTTGATCATTGTAACCCACAGCACCGGACATCCAGGACAACAGTCGTCATCCTATGGTAAGATTGGGCTCTGCCATGAGAATGTGGAATTTACAGCACTGTTCAGGAGTACAGTGGGATTTCGCATCACTCAATTGCTAAATTGAGTATGGGAGACACCGTGACTTAGAATGTTACTGTCACAGTCCGGCTGGGTGCCATGACAGTACACAGCTTCATTCACAATTAAATATACCTCGAATTCAAATCCTGGTTGGGAGTCGACTCATCATCCCTCTGGGGTCAAATAAATCGGTGCACAATAAATTGAGTACAATTTCGTATTCAATTATTTGCTAACCTAAGAAAATTTTAAACCTCGATTTTTTTTCTGTCCAATGATATAGAGGGAAAGGAGGGGGACGAGAGGTGGAGGTGGGTGGGCAGAGGAGGGAAGGGACAAGACACAGTCCATGCTGGGTCGTCCCAGGAAGCATCTGGCATGGCTCGGATCTGATTTCTAACGGTCGTGGAAAGGTAGCAACACATTTCTGTCTGGCCAAGGTCACGTCATCAATCACCGTTGCTCACAAGTGCTACTGTTTTGTGTAGCAGTAGGTATAAGCAATCACTTTGGATTGTTGAAACTTGGATCGTTGAAACCCGTTAATTTAGCAACCCTCCATAGAACCACAGGCTGCTGGGGAGAAGTGCATTGTGGGGCTGACAGCTCTCTCTGCCAATCAGCGCGATGATTTATAAGGGCGGCCACCAGGGGCTTTGTGGAAATGCCTCCGTGGGGCCGGCTAAGTACGGGGCGAGCGCACGGGCCCCAAAAGTGCAATTCTGACAGCTCTCAGCGACGCGTCGGCACCTTTCGGGTGTGGGAAAGCCGGCCAGATCGGGCCGAGCCCCCGCCTGGGAGGGCGCAGAAGACGATGTGTCGAGACGTTTCCTTCCAGGAGGATGAATTTTAAGAAAATTCTCAATGCTCCCAGCGCCCTGGGTTACGGCACTGAAGCTGTCAAGACGTCACGGCGGGATCATCAATCAAACATTTACAGAGCGCCGGCTCAAAGACTCTGACCACCACCGCCACCGCCTCTGGCAAACACTGCGGTGGCAACTCATTGAGGGGCTTAGA